TCACATAGTCCTGCTTGTTTACTAATTCTTTCAATGTCATTATTCCTGCCATTTGGAAGTATTGGTAAGCAACACAACAGTTTAGTTTCTTTGCATTGAATGGAGGTCTGTGACCCCCTGTTTTCTTTGGGGTCACAAACACTGTGCTCACAAACCAGTTTCTTACTGGAGAAACCCACTGCACTGCCCCTTTCTTTAACATTTTTGTATACTTCTGCAGACATTGCCTATTTCTGATTTTTGCATCCTTAGTTCTTTTAGTTCTGATTTTTGCTGAGGAATTTGATTGAATTCTATTCTGTACCCCTGAACGATGTTTAGAATGTAAGGATCCTTTGTCAGCTTTTCCAAGTTTTTTGTGAAGTGTTTTAATCTCCCCCTAGTTTGTAATCTGACTGAATGACCTGAAAGTCTAGGTCCTGTACCTGACAGAAACATAAAATTCAACAACACATGTTGTGGGTCGTAAAGCAACACGTTTATTGCCGGATGACGGCATGTCGCATACAGTGATATAACATAACAGCACTGAGGGATGTCGTAAACATTGACATATATTACATCCCCCTTTGTTTACCAGCTGAAAGCTTATATAAACAATAAATGTAATTATGAAAACTCATATAAAACTTATGGTTGACTAGAAACCACTTTGTTGTAAAGTTTAAGAAATAAACTTTAAAATGTTCATGAGAGTTCATGTCTTCTCTGGCACTTGAAATGAAAGTCCATTGAAATTTTTCAACTTCAAATAACCAGTTTTCAACACACTGGTATCTAATTAACAATAACACAATCTAACAGTCTCTGAGGAATTGAAACCTCTCAAGCCTGAAATGAAAGCACATAATAACTTTGACACAATATAACAGTCTTTGTATATTGAAAGTCACTTGAATCTGAAATAAGATCACAACATGAAATTATCAACACACAACTTCACTTTTTAACACAAGTTTAGAAAAGTTAAACTGGATAAAGAATTAACGGTTAATTACACATCCATTCTCTGTGGTGGTATTCACTTTACCACTTCTTGTTATTACAGTCTTTGTTGGTGTTGTTAATGGATCGTTCATGATGGGGGAAGATCAACTTTCTCTGCTTCTTGGCGCAAGCATGCCAAGGAAAAGATATGACACGTGTTGTCAGCTCTGCGCTTCACTTCAGAGTGAGTTGGCACATTAGTTTCTAAAAATAAACTACACATGACTGGCGATTTTATGCCGCTGTGCAACTCTCGCAGTAACATTTGAAGCTTACATAAAATCATACCAAATGGATGGTTTACAAACCTCAAGTTATGAGTCATTTATTCATGCACACACTAAAACACACACTTATCATAAATTAATTCATACAAATAGTACGCCTGTCTCTTCCAGACTTAATTCTTTACAGGCTCTGTCATATAGCTTTCATTTTCATAACAAACACAATTATAAATCTGCCTTTGTGAATTCCGAGTCTGAGTCTTCCGCACACAGAATGTTCCAAGCTGCCGAATCTGTTCGATCATCATAGTAATCGTTCAACTCATCTTCGAAGTCGTTAGGAATGCCAGCTACTGTGTCTGTGATCTTGGGTCTCCCGCCTTCAGATGACTTCACTAGATCTTCGAACAGGCAATCGACTTGTGACCCATTCATCGCATTGGCGATTCCACACTTCAGAAAACGTTGCTTCACCAATGGCATGTGTTTCCAGGCTACCTTGACCCATTCGACAGCATCCACACATTCTCAATCCACTGTTGTCAGTCAGTCTGTGTGAGGTCTGGCATTGTCTTTTGGGAAAATTATGTTTACTTGTTGCATAATTTAGGACATGTGGCCGAAGAATCTCATCCGTGTAACGTTGTGCCGTTACACTAGTGTTCTACCAGGGTAGGGGATTTCTGCCCACATCATCACATTACCACACCCAAATATGTTCAGTTATGGGCATAACGTTCCCTGCGATGCCAGTAAACACATTGTCTCCCATCCGCACAGCAAAGTATAAGACATGACGCATCACTAATCCAAACTTGTGTCCATCGCAGTTGTGGCTGTATTTTGAAGCAGGTCCATCAAAATGACACCTCAAACTGGTCTATACCTTCAGTGCATAAACGGTTCCTCACTGTCTGAGCTGATATCCCATACAATACTGATATTGCCGTAGTTGTAGAGGTGGCCATAGTGGTCTCTTTCACATAAGTGACGTTGCCGTTCGAATCTGACCTATGCTCTAGTAGTGATACATGTTTGACCGAATCTGGGAAGGTCACATGAGTCTTGTAATGGTGCTTGGTGATAAGCGGAAAAAAGCTGACTATGGCCGAAGATGATTCGCCTGTATGCAGTCGGTGTTGCATTGGGTTTCTCAGTCGTGGCATGTTTTTGCTGTTCACTTGCTGTAAGATGTGATGGCATGCAAATAAAAACCCAAATTTTTTATAGCCAAACATGTGCATGTCATGTTGGTGTGTTTCGACACCAGGCTCTCACATGGTTGTGTTTTTGCAATTTTACTACTGTTGCATTTCTTTTTTTGTTGTTGCAGAGTATATATATATATATATGTATGTATTGTTTCCTAACCTTGATTAAATGCAGATAAACTTCTTAAGATGTGGCTTCAAATTAAGGCTCTTCTCTGTATTACTGAGAGAATTGTTAGTAAGAAGGTTTAGAGACTGGCCAGGGGATGAAATTCTCTAGTGTCAGGATGATTCTCCCTTGTGAATTTGAACCCATACCAGTTTGTTTAATCCTATCAACATATATTTACCCCCACATTTCCCCCCCCCCCCCCCCCCCCTCATTTCTCACCCCACACCCCACACCCCTCACCCCACACCCCAACCAAACATGATGAAAATGCAAGTATCAACATAAATAACACTAGATGTTTTAACCGAATGCTAGTTTTATTTATCCTAGGATCGGATACACTAGTGAATTTTTACATTTGAACAATCAATTCATAGAAACACAACATTTTATTTAATAATATTCAATAAGGGAGGAATGTCTGTTTTACTTAGCATTTCTCTTTGGACGCTTAGGTTGATTGGTCTGATCCTCATCGTGATCACTTCGTTGTTCAAGATGGATACTGTCATCACTAGAATTATCAAAGACATTATCGCTAACAACATCAGCTGCAGGTGTTCCAGATGTCAAACAAAAAAGTCATGAAGTCATGTGATCAGCTGACAGCATGAATGTCATGACAGCATGCAATGCATGTGCAAAGGAAGTCTGTCATGGGATAATACACACTGATTCAAGTTAGTGTTAATTATCCTGGGATAATTTCCACTATTTCCACTAAAGTATGTTTCACTGGGATGAATTACCCTTAATTTTTGGTCATAACCTATCCCAGATTTCACACACTAAGGTAGGATACTTTACTCTAGAGTAAAACTTCCCCCGGGATAATATTTAGGTAGGATATAATCCTTGCTTTCACAGTCAGCTCTTGTGAGCATCAGAAGTACTAGTACTTGGCAGCATGACAACATTGATATTGGAAAATAATCTGAGAAGTCTGTGTCAGAATCCTGATCCACATCTTCTACCTGATTGATCCCTTTTATGTTTACCAAACTTTCTGGCTGTGAAGCTTTATTGAATGTAGACGATAAGAGTCTAATTGATAAGACCAAGAACGTGTGACATTTGGAATCACTTGCATTTTTTTTATTAGGATAATCAACAATGATGTACTATTGCTGCTAAAGAAGTTTAGACTTACACTGTATTGAGATGACAATGTGCTTGAATGTCCAGTTTATGTAAGGACTATGTATGTATTATGTTGTGCATTTATATCACATCTCTGTCTATGAATGTGTGATGGTGTATCTATACATGATGTACCTTATTTATCAGTTGTGAAATATGCATTTACCAATCTCCAAGAGATATTTCATGTCTTTTACTGTATTTATATTCACACTGAATGAATTTAAGTAAAATTTGTAAAAAATAATAAAGAAATATGTTTATGTTATTTGTTGTGAAACTGGCAGCTAATGGTGCATCACACTTGAAAGACCACCTCTCATCTCAGTGGTCAGGTGAGATGGGGCTTGACGCTGCATCCAAGATTATTGCGCTTAAAGAGCGACGTGCATGCACGTGTATTTGTGTGGCTGCTGGTACTGCTTGTACACATGAAGATTCGGGTTAGAAAAAGGTCTTCAGCAACCCATGCTTGTCGTAAGAGGTGACTGACAGGATCAGTTGTCAGTCTCGCTGACTTGGTTCAAGCATGTCATTATATCCCAATTGCGTAGATTGGTGCCCATGCTGTCAGTCACTGGACTGTCTGGTTCAGACTCGATTATTTACAGACTGTCATATAGCTGAAATATTGTTGAGTGACTAAGTGAGACAGTGTGCCATTATTATTATTATTATTATTCAATGGTTTGCCTGGTCCAGAATCCATTATTTACTCATTGCAGTAATAGACTTTGAGTGAGTGAGCGAGTTGGGTTTAACACTGCTTTTAACAGTATTCCAGTTATATCGCGGCGTGTCAGCTTAATGCAGGAGGAAAGCCCAAACTGATGCAGGCCTCAGACGTTTACCACTTCGGTGAAACCCACGATCACAGGTATGGTGCTGACAAACCTAGAAACATATTCGGGGCGAACCAGGATTCAAACCCACAATCATAGGTTTCTGGCGTGCCCAAGGGACGTAACTCTGCACAACTATTCACAGCGCCATAGACGACTGGGCCACCCGTGCCCCTAATAGACTTTGAAATTTTGCTGACTACAGGATAAAACAACAAACGTTCCCCATAGAAAGTCATGTTTTTGCCAGGTAACATTATAACTAGTGACACATGCTTGCAGTAACGAGTCTCTCGTCCAATGGTGGGGAGAAAACTGTCACGGGCATCTTCAGCTGAGAAAGATTTTTTCAAAAGAAATCATAAAGAACACTTCTTTCTCCAACTCAGTACGATCAGACAAAAAAATACACCTGAAGACAAATGTTTGATAAGTTTATATCAGTGTGGTAAGGTAAGGTACAATGTATGAATAAACTATCTACAGTATCTACTATAAACTATGACGATATAACAACTAGCTTTGTAATCAACAGACATTTGCAAAACAAAGTTGATAACATTATGTTGTCAAACGCCATGTCTATTTCAACCAGCAAAACCGAAACTCTGCACAGCGAAATTGTAATGCCTAAAGACGATTGGGCCCCAACTTTAGAGAGAGTTGTGGAGAGTATATACAGGACATGCTTCTTAATACTGGTACCAGGTACTTATGTTAACTCGGGAATATCAAGACATACATGTGTTTTTATACATAACCTAAAAGAGTGGATTATTTACAGTCTGCCATCATATAGCTGGAATAAACAACACAAAATCATTGAAGCATGTTTATTGAAGTCCAGCAACCTCTTCTGAACACAGAACTGTCAATATATGGACAAAGCTTGTGTAATCTACTAAACAGGTGATAATACTGAGAACAATGTTCTTTTTCATAGTAAACATTGTGTCAAAATTGCAAAACTTGAGTTACAAAATGAATTCAATGTTTAATGTTGAAGGAGTACTGGGGTATAGCTGCTACATCACAGTTATCTGTAATTGAGTCTGGAATCAACACAGGTGGATACTGGTAGCAACACCAGCAGTCTGGGTACAGTGACACACAGCCAATCAGATCACATGTTAGCACTGGGAGCAGTAACGTGGGTACTCGGGCAGGTGGGTACTGAGTAGGGCCCTGGTACTCACAGGACAACCCAGACACGGACACTAAAACTCCATGGTTACAGTACAAGACACTAATGTTAGCATTTTGTTCCGACTAGGCACTCATTCCTTTTGACTTTTATATGTTTGAATAAGATAAAGTTTCAGTCAACTTCAGTGTATGCATGACAAGATTGTTTTATATGTTTATCTGAATACTTCTTGCCAGGGCTCCAGTAATTCCCAATCAGAATTTTGTACCCAATTCTTGGGTTGGGTAGTAAGGGGTTGATTACCGAGGTAGTAAATCTGGACTCATCCCAGTCCTATCGCACATTGTGTTAACCATCACGGCCCCATTAATAGTCAGCTCACACAACAAGCATTGGGTATTGGAGACCTTCTCTCCCCCAGAATCCCCAAAATCTTGGTTGTCCAAATTACCTCTATCAGTCTCAGACATTCAGGTTGTATTCCAAAAACACTCTACTTAAAATATTATTTAAGGTTCTGGGTTAGAACATTGGCAACCCATGCTTGTTGTACAAGGTGACTAAACTGATCGGGTGGTGGACTCAGTTTGTGATGTTACTCCTACTATCAACCACTGCTTGTCGTACAGGGTGACTAAACGGTGGTAGACTCAGTTTGTGATGTTACTTGTACTATCAACCACTGCTTGTCGTACAAGGCGACTAAACGGATCGGGTGGTAGACTCAGTTTGTGATGTTACTCGTACTATCAACCACTGCTTGTCGTACAAGGTGACTAAACGGATCGAGTGGTAGACTCAGTTTGTGATGTTACTCGTACTATCAACCACTGCTTGCCGTACAAGGTGACTAAACGGATCGGCTGGTAGACTCATTTTGTGATGTTACTCGTACTATCAACCACTGCTTGTCGTACAAGGTGACTACACGGAGGTAGACTCAGTTTGTGATGTTACTTGTACTATCAACCACTGCTTGTCGTACAAGGTGACTAAACGGATCGAGTGGTAGACTCATTTTGTGATGTTACTCGTACTATCAACCACTGCTTGTCGTACAAGGTGACTAAACGGATTGGTTGGTGGACTCAGTTTGTGATGTTACTCGTACTATCAACCACTGCTTGTCGTACAAGGTGACTAAACGGATTGGATGGTGGACTCATTTTGTGATGTTACTCGTACTATCAACCACTGCTTGTCGTACAAGGTGACTACACGGAGGTAGACTCAGTTTGTGATGTTACTCGTACTATCAACCACTGCTTGTCGTACAAGGTGACTAAACGGATCGAGTGGTAGACTCATTTTGTGATGTTACTCGTACTATCAACCACTGCTTGTCGTACAAGGTGACTAAACGGATTGGTTGGTGGACTCAGTTTGTGATGTTACTCGTACTATCAACCACTGCTTGTCGTACAAGGTGACTAAACGGATTGGATGGTGGACTCATTTTGTGATGTTACTCGTACTATCAACCACTGCTTGTCGTACAAGGTGACTACACGGAGGTAGACTCAGTTTGTGATGTTACTCGTACTATCAACCACTGCTTGTCGTACAAGGTGACTAAACGGATCGAGTGGTAGACTCATTTTGTGATGTTACTCGTACTATCAACCAGTGCTTGTCGTACAAGGTGACTAAACGGATCGAGTGGTAGACTCAGTTTGTGATGTTACTTGTACTATCAACCAGTGCTTGTCGTACAAGGTGACTATACGGAGGTAGACTCATTTTGTGATGTTACTCGTACTATCAACCACTGCTTGTCTGATCTAGATCTAGACTGATCTACAGATTGCTGTCAAATAGCTTCCTTACACAACAAACTTATTATTGTGGTCAATATCACAATTTGATAAGGTAAAATATTTGTTAAACATCTTCTCCCTCGAAATAGGGATAAAACAATGATATAAAACATGCATTTGTGTTGAAGAGGAAGTTTACAGACTCTTGTATGATTTAATCACAGCTTCCGTTAAACTCTCAAGGCTATCACTCATGGGCCAACTTATGACATTTTCCACTCAGCCAGCGGTCCAAATAACTCCCAAGATGCAACTGGCCAGACACACTTGGTTCCTAAGTAATGCTTAACTCATTGCACAAATGACAACATATTCAGACAATTTCAGAAGAACAAACAAAATGATTAGATGAAATACTTTTTACCACCTACCACAAGAATATTTCATTATAAAAAAACATAAACCAATAAGTAACAGTCTGACCTAACATTAGATTTCAGCACCAATCATCCCACATATACAAGCAACAATTGTAAAAACCGAGCTTGAAACTTGTCAGTTTACAAATTGTTTCAACAATAATGTGAAATATATGACGGTGAAAAAGTATTTTCTGGATGATTACAGCTTGGAACAGCTTTATACATGCCCATTACTTCATTTGCAGGAAATTTGTTAAACTACAATTTCACTGGAGTAACAAGCTCTCACTGTATGCTACAGACCGAGTAACAGACGACGAGATGCTGGGTCAGGATGGCATGGATTCAGCTATTGCAAACTCTGGACTGAGCAAAATATGTTGAAACCATCACATGACAAAGCAAAAGAAAGTAAAATATCAATACACAAACAACACTTAACTGATTCATTTTGCTCATTGGTCACTTGCGATTACCAGTAAACTATTAAGATTTCATCAGTTCCAAACACAAGTGTCCAGTTGATTAGAAGAACACAGGCCCAGCAATGAAAGGCAACTAGCGCTGTACATGTTGTACAGACAATGAACATAACGCTTTTGCATTAGTGTTGAGTGTCTTGAGTCATTCATTGAAGTTTCCAAGTCATCATGTTCATGCCATAATCAGTGGTTTCTATGTTTCTTATGGTCAAATAAGTTATCAGTTAGGTTTCTGTATCAAAAAGGAAACCTTTTTAACCAATCAGAATCAAGCATTCATCAATGTCATGGTAGAAATGATGTTATTAGCATCCCTGCTCTGAAAGTGGGGTGAAGTGAAATGGGGATTAACGAATTATTGCACTTATATAGCGGTGTCTATGTGTATTTTCGTCTTGATGGGGTGAGGTGAAATTGGGTTTAACGTTGCATTCAAGATTATTGCACTTATATAGCGATGTGTGTGCAAGTGTGCAAGTGTGCATGTGTTTGTAAGAATGCTTGACCTTCTGCTCTCCGGGACGACGCTCTACTACTATACCACAGAGTCGGTCATGTTTTAGTCTGGACTGATGCTGCTATTACAGTGCAAGCCCACTGACAAACCATTCCACAGTTTAACCTGGACAAGCGCCCACACACTCACGTCGGATACACAGTGGTTCTAGTTACATGTCATGATAGAATTGAGACATAATACACTTGAAAGTCAAGGATGCATTTGGCCATTCATGCTGGTAACTTCTGAAGGTCTTCAGCACTGTAATACTTTGCCTTTTCCTCGCCGACCCCTTTGTCCTGACTGGACCGTTCCATCTGCGCCTCTGTGAGCTGCATGTACAGTATCTGCTCCTTGTCGGTGTTGTAACGCACCTCCTCCCCGGGGTGTTTATGCATCACATGTTTGCGGACATTCCCCCCCATGGCGCTGCTGTAAACACAGTACGGGCACAGGTAGGGCTTCATGCCCTTGAACACATGCTGTGTGCGGATATGAAGCTTCATATGCTCCCCAGTCTTGGAGCTGTAGTCACAGTAAGGGCACTTCTGTTCCCCGTCCTGGTGGATCTTCCTGTGCGTGCTCATCGCCGAGAAGGACTTGTAGCTCTTGCCACAGACGTCGCACGTGCACTTGAAGGTATGGTCGTGTACATTGCGGATGTGTTTTTGAAGGTAACTGTTTGTCAGGTATTTCACATTACAATGAGGGCAGGAAAGCTCTTTGCGATTGTCAAAATCAGCCCGGACACCATGACGATGGAATACATGATCTGGAAAAAGGTAGAATATTCAGAGAAGTAGATACTAAATGATTGAAATCATGAATGAATAATTTACATTCTGGCTAGAGATACATTAACTGGTTCCCATTGTTTGTTGACAAACAACTGAATTGGTCAAGGTGATCAGACATGTTTACTTTGGTGATTGCAAGTCATTATATCCCAGTGATCGGGGTATTTCGCTCCTAATATCAACCGATGTTGACAACTTACTGGCTAGATACCAGTGGATGTTGGTACCGTATGGACAACAGTACTTACTGGCTAGGTACCAGTGGATGTTGGTACCCTACGGACAACAGTACTTACTGGCTAGGTACCAGTGGATGTTGGTACCCTACGGACAACAGTACTTGCTGGCTAGGTACCAGTGGATGTTAGTACTGTATGGACAACAGTACTTACTGGCTAGGTACTAGTGGATGTTGGTACCGTATGGACAACAGTACTTACTGGCTAGGTACCAGTGGATGTTGGTACCCTACGGACAACAGTACTTACTGGCTAGGTACCAGTGGATGTTGGTACCATACAGACAACAGTACTTACTGGCTAGGTACCAGTGGATGTTGGTACCGTATGGACAACAGTACTTACTGGCTAGGTACCAGTGGATGTTGGTACCCTACGGACAACAGTACTTACTGGCTAGGTACCAGTGGATGTTAGTACTGTATGGACAACAGTACTTACTGGCTAGGTACCAGTGGATGTTGGTACCATACGGACAACAGTACTTACTGGCTAGGTACCAGTGGATGTTGGTACCCTTCGGACAACAGTACTTACTGGCTAGGTACTAGTGGATGTTGGTACCGTACGGACAACAGTACTTACTGGCTAGGTACCAGTGGATGTTGGTACCCTACGGACAACAGTACTTACTGGCTAGGTACCAGTGGATGTTGGTACCATATGGACAGTGCTGACACTTGTATTCCTTGTCCTGGTTGTGTTTGCTCTTGACGTGGAGCCGCAGAACCGGCTCCTTGGCGAATCCCATTCCACAGATGTCGCAGAGGAAGGGGCGGATGTTGAGGTGCATCGTTCGGATGTGGTTCTGTAGGGTACTTGAACACAATCAGAATGATTAAGTGAATAAGTTGCCTTCAATGCCTTTTTTAACATTATGTCAGTTATATTTAATATGTATTTCAGCTTAATGTGGCACAGGTATGAGACATTTACTATTTGGTGAAACCCACAGATATAGTGCTGAGAGACCAAAGATACTAATCCAGGTGAATCATGGACTTCAAACCATGATCATTGGATCCAGGCATGACTAAGGGACGCAACTCTGCACAGCAAATTAAGAAGTCATTGGCAACTGGACCCCTGGCACCCCAAACATTATCAGACCTTGGTCAAAGCAATTACAGAAGAGGAGATGAGTGAGTGGGTGAATGTTGTTATGCCAGTCAGCAATGTTCCAGCTACTTATCGGTGGCCCATCAATATTGATACAGGGTCAGGCAAACCAGCAGTTGATAAAACACTCAACACCATTGGAGCATGATGACAGACATTATCCGGGTCACACATTGTGACCATCTAATCCTCACTTAGATACTTCTTATGACTAGCATGGGGTCCTGGAGCCCTAGAATCTCAATTGGTAGGAAGATACGATTCTCACATCTTCCAGGTAGAAAAACAATCACAGCACAACAAAATGATACAAAACAATTTTGAGAGAACCAATAGCTAATATTCCCAGCGTTATTGTCAGAGGAGAAAGAACTCACTCTCCTGTCTTGACAATTATGTTGCAGTGGGGGCACTTGTGCTCCGTGTGACCAATACGCTTGTGTTTTTCCAGGAAGAACTTGCGGACAGTCTCATACTCACACCCTTCAACATCACATCTAAACAGCTGCAACACATGACGTTATACGGTCAAGAGACAGTGACGATGAAAGATCAGTTGTGCAAAGAAAGAGTACTTTTAAATGAACATCACAGAGTGAGTAAGTATAGTTTTACGCCACTTTTAGCAATATTCAAGCAATAACATTGACTTACAATAGCACTAACAGTATTCACACACAAACATAGACTTAAAATGGTGCCAAGAACTTCCACACTTTAACATCAACTTTCAAAAGCCCTTAGAACTTCCACAGCCTTACATAACCCTACAATAGCCCTCAGAACTTCCACACTCTAACATAAACCTACAATAGCCCTTACAACTTCCACACCCTAACATAAACCTACAATAGCCCTTACAACTTCCACACCCTAACACAAACCTACAATAGCCCTTACAACTTCCACATCCTAACATAAACCTACAATAGCCTCTAGAACTTCCACACTCTAACATAAACCTACAATAGCCCTTAGAACGTCCACACTCTAACACAAACCTACAATAGCCCTTAGAACTTCCACACTCTAACACAAACCTACAATAGCCCTTAGAACTTCCACACTCTAACATAAACCTACAATAGCCCCTAGAACTTCAACACTCTAACATAAACCTACAATATCCCCTTGAACTTCCACACCCTAACATAAACCTACAATAGCCCTTAGAACTTCCACACTCTAACATAAACCTACAATATCCCCTTGAACTTCCACACTCTAACATAAACCTACAATATCCACTTGAACTTCCACACTCTAACATAAACCTACAATAGCCCTTAGAGAGTCCAGGCATTTTGTGGATGAGCCTTGAAACATCATGATTCTCAACAGTAGTGTTCCTCTTGTTCAGCATTAGGGCTTGGCATACATACAGAAGCTACTGGTAAGTTTAACTGACACTTTATCCAATCGATTTGTAAAGGTAATTGTCAGGAAAAGGCCCACCCTAGTTACTACACTGGGCCAGTAGAAATATAAAAGTGATGACCAGGGCATCTGCCTGGTTGGCCATCGTGTTTCGCAGCAGCAGCAGCAGCAACAGCAGCAGCCTGTAGCTCACCTTCACTGAGTGCTGTACGCCGTGTTGGTCTCGCTCGTGCTCTTGCTGATGGACGTACTTCACAAACTGCTGGCCACACTGTGTACAAGAGAAGATGGGCTTGTTCCCATGCACCTTCGTCACGTGCTTGTCCAGCATGGCCTTCAGGTGGAACATCCTTGGCCTCTGACAGTGGGTACACTTGTACTTCACATCGGGATGTTCCAGCTTGGCATGACGTTCCAGTTCACCGTAGTCGATAGAGGCAAAATGGCAACTGTCAATTTCACAGCTGACTAGAAGGGCTGAATTCATTTCCACCTGAAAGAGAAATTGTGGTCAAGACATAAAATTTTCTGTTGAAAGGTTTTCCTATATTCAAACATTGCCAGTTAAGTTTTACACATCAAAGTCCATGAAGACACTGTGCCATTGTCTGCATCTACTCAACATTTACAAAGACCCCTGGGCCGTTGCTTTGTCGGTCTTGAATGGAAAGTGAAAATGCTGTTTGCGAGAACTGTTCACTTTATGCCTGTGCTATTCAGGAGACTCAAATTGGGATAATTGTTTTGGCAATTGCACCTTTATTTCCTGATAAAGCACTGTCACTCATGCTCAATAACATCCAAAAATGATGACAGTAGATTTCCAATTATACATAGCAATTATTTTCATACTTTCACAGAATTTTGCACTGTAAAACAGGAAAAGGAATATTGAACTGGCCTCATCATACACTTTTACTTGTAAGTGATAATTATGCATAATTTGAACCAAAAGCATGGCTATGCCTTTGAACATACCTGTGATAGAGACATGTAAAGCACCTGATAGACATACCTGTGATGGTGACATGTGATGGCCATACCTGTGATGGTGATATGTGATGGCCATACCTGTGATGGTGACATGTGATGGCCATACCTGTGATGGTGACATGTGATGGACATACCTGTGATGGTGACATGTGATGGACATACCTGTGATGGACATACCTGTGATGGTGACATGTGATGGCCATACCTGTGATGGTGACATGTGATGGCCATACCTGTGATGGTGACATGTGATGGCCATACCTGTGATGGTGACATGTGATGGACATACCTGTGATGGTGACATGTGATGGACATACCTGTGATGGTGACATGTGATGGACATACCTGTGATGGTGACATGTGATGGACATACCTGTAATGGTGACATGTGTTTCACCTGATGGACATACCTGTGATGGCAACATGTGATGGACCTGCATGAGGTGGAACTTGAGTGTTTTCCTTAAGGAGTAGACAGACCCACACTCGGTACACAGCAGACATTCTCCCGAAGGTTTCTTCTTCTTCTGACCTTTCACCTCTTTCAGTAAAACTTTTACCTTCGACCTTTGACCTTGCAACTTCCTCTTCTGACAAAGATGGACCGAGATTGTGTGAAGTCTCCAAGTGCTGAATCTTTTAAAGTCCTTTCTGCATAGTGTACATCTGTAGCTCTGTGAGGTGGTTTTGTGGAGGTTTTGAGATAAGTACAAGTCCTTTAACAACAAAAGAATATGATATCTGCTACAAAGAGCCTTCGTCATCCTACCTAAGTGAGATGCTCTTTTTAATTCTTTTCTTTTAACACTGAACACATATCTACTCTGTTTGAGGTTCTTTTGATTTGGCAGTTTACCTTCAGCTAAATGAACTGATTTTTTAATAATGTGCTTTTTCTTTAAATTACACTTTGCATCTTTGGACAACTTTCCTCCTTTAGTATTTGTGGCAGTAGGTTGAGAGTGCCTTGTGTTACGTCTCTGTGTGACCTTCACCTTCACTTCATCATCAACTACAGGGTCACATTTTGACTTCCTTCCTCGCGTTCTCTGTACACTGGTTTGAACTGATGAAAAAGTATCAATCTTTGACTTGGTTTTAGATCTTGTTTGTCGTTTGTTTGTTTCTATGGGTACCGAAACACTGCCACCTGACTTCACTTGCACTTGATTCATAACTCGTCTACTCTTTCTGGGTCTCACTTGACTGGAACTCTCACTGGATTTAACAGGATTGTCTTCAGCATCAGGGACAGGTTGGCTGTAAAGTGTGTTTTGGGATACAGCAACAGGTGAATCTTCCACACCAACCAGGCCCTTATCTCCCCTACTTCCAAGAGAACGATGAGCCTCCTCATCAATGGCTGGGGTTTGCTCTGGCACAGTCGAACATGTAGCGTGTGGTACTATATATTCCTCGTAAATATTGGTCTCGTCAATATTTGACGAACGAACAGTAGTAGGATCACTAACAACTGATAGCTTAACATCACTGGCTGATTGCTTGCAACTGATATGACTCACTGTCTGGTCCTGACCTGGATTATAAACACCTTGTTCCTGCACCTGCTGATAGTTAGGGTCACCTGTTCCTTGTGGCCCATCAGCAGTGGTTTGAGGAGGACCTGGAGCACCTCCAGCATGCCCTGTAGAACTCAGGGCGACTCCTGTAGAACACATCGAAGTCTGCACCATGTTGGGAGGTTTGGGTGAAACACTCTGCACTTCACTTACTACAGGTCTTTCAGAGCAAACTGAACTTGAGGGTACAGAAACTTGTGGGTTGTTACTCAACATTTCACTTTGTGAAGCCCTTCGAGAATCAACTAAACCAGTGAGTTGAGGACCTTGTGGGTTGGCAGTAATCGGTCTGGTAGGGGCAGAGGCTGACTTTGGAGAAACTGAGTACACATTTAGTGCTTGTAACACATGCATGTCACTAGAGGCTCTCTGGTGGATGACAGTATCTATTATGAGTGGATCGTGAGTAGAGGTCGGTGCAGCGCCAACAGACTGTAGGGGTATACAGCTGGGTGTAGAGAGTTGAAGGCCGGTCTGCACGCATTGTTGGGGTAGTGGTACAGCACACACAGTGGAGGGTCTGGTGATGCTTGGATCTGCAGTGTCAGAAGTCAGACGAACACCCTGCAAGACTTCACCATCCGTCATGCTGAAGCCACTCCTCATTGGGCCAGGGTGCAGACTCCTCATTCCTTGTTGCCCACCCATCTGCACATCCTGCAGGGCACTCGTCATGCTTGTGTTCTCCTGATGCCCCCTACCCTGGACCAGGAGGCCCCCACAGCCGGACGGGAGGAGTCTGTCGGCACTCTGTAGGGCCTCTACTATACTGCTGAACTGAAGCGTAGTGGCAGCTTCCAGGATCTTCTGCTTCCAAGGCCAGAGAGAAGGGACCTTCACTTCCCCCTGGTATATCAGGCTGAGAAGAGCACCAAGCACATGGGCCTCGATGCCTGCAAGAAAAGGCAGAAAATAACTCACCATTTGTAATCAGTAGTATTTCAACATATGTTAGACAAAGCACATCTTCCCGGGGCAAATGAGTTAACTGACTTTAAAAGTCCAGTTTCCACCCTTGCCAAACTAGGCTGGTATTATGGAGTTGACTGGACTAACGAGTCTATGCACAGTCCAATCAAATCGCGTAACGAAATCGAAATCCAGTTTGGAAACTGTCGTGCAGATTTCGGTAGATTGCAAGATTTGCAAAGGACGTGCACCACCAACTCGGCGTCAGCAGATATTTTTAAAATGTTTTTATGTTTTTAATCAAGGTGCTCACGTGATTTGATGCACTTTGCGATGTAAGACCAATTTGGTCACAATATAGATCTTGATTATTTAACGGATCATCTTGACTGGGCGCCGCCAGGAACACAACTCGTAATAACCACTTGTGGCGCTACAATAGAGGCAAGAAATTCCAGTCTAGTTCGGCAAGGTTGGAAACTGGACTTTTATAGTCAGTTAACTCCCTTGCCTCAGGAAGATGGACAAAGCATGGATGATTGTTTTTTTAACAACCTCAATCATGTGAGCAGACAATTGGGATATCTGCCTTTTTACTGAAAATAATGGCACAATTTCAAATGTTCAAATTGAAATGGTGTATTTGATCTTAAATAATTTGGCGCCATGGAGATTCTAAAGCAGAATAGGTATCAGTACCCCTGCGAGGTAAGAACTGACTTAAATGAGGATTTGGATGGTTACAATGTGTGACCTCTCTGATTCAGATTGTGTGTCTTTCTTCTGAGTTGACATGGATCGTTGCTGCTATTGTAAGAGTGAATATTATCCTACCCTATTTTTTATCCCGATGATGAAATTCTCTAGTGTCAGGATGATTCTCCCTACTGAATTTGAACCCCTACCAGTGTGGCACTAAGGTAGGATACTATACTCTAGAGTAAAACTTCACCCAGGATGATATTTAGATAGGATATAATACACTATCACTCACTGGTCTGCCTGGCCCAGACTTGATCAATAAATAATAATAGGCTATTTATATTGCGCATATTTGAACACCACTCAGGGGTATGCTCAAAGCGCTATTATTACCCCGGACCCTGGATCAATTGGCACGCAAGAATCATTCGCAGCATCCTGGGGGGTATACAACCCAAGCTGCCTGTTAGGTTGCCTGTTAGAAGGTTAACAACTACATTGCCATCTCATCCTACTGGGTACCCATTCACTGCTGGGTAAACAGAGGCTGGGACATATGTGGGAGGCTGGGTACTTACAGGTAGCCATGATATACTTGAAATATTGCTGACTATGGCCCAACTGCTATCACTCAACAATACGGAATACATGTTGCAAAGACCCACATACTTGTCTTGAATTCTGTGATTCTCTCATTGGTTTCCCTCCAGCCATGAAACACCCAGTGGAAGAAGGAAGAGTTGATGGCTAGCAGAAGTTGATGTGCTTTGAAAGTAGTTCCATCTTGAGCGATGAGGCTCACATCACACAGTGCCTGGTTACAATAAAACTGATGGAGGCCTTTGATTACCGCCACACTGTGTTGAGGCCACACCAGGGTCTCCATCTGGGACAACATCAACAGAGCAGATTAGACATGAACCTAGACTTGGCAAAAGATGTCCTGTAGGACTGCACATATAGACCATACAGGTAAAACCTCGCTCTTTTTTTAAGGTTTGTTCTCATATTTAGAGGTTGTAAAAGTTTCATTCTACCAAATAAGGTTGGTAGTATGTATGTTGATAGCATGATCCTTGCTTATTTGTTGCTTTACGCTGCACTTAGCAATATTCCAGTTATATGATTGCCTTCTGTAAATAATCAAGTCTGGACCAGACAATCCATCCTGAGCATCGATCCACACAATTGGGATACAATGACAAACATCAACCAAGTCACCAAGCCCGACCACCCGATCCCGTTAGTCGCCTCTTATGACAAGCATAGATGCCTCTTACAGTTGGAATAGAATAGGCCTATTCAGATCTTCATGGGTAGATCTACCATGATTGAAGTATTTCACTTGTTCAGAAGTTGTTGTCAGTACTGAGAAATACATGTACATATACCCCTCCATGTTGTCATGTCATCGATCCCAATTGCGTGAATGGATGCTCATGATATCAATCACTGGATTGTCTGGTCTAGACTCAATTATTTACCGACCAGTCATATAGCTTGAATATTGGTGAGTGTGGCATTAAACAACAAACCAACCAACCAAAAAACCATGTTATCAGCTCATGGTCTCAAGAACAAGATTCTTTTTCGTTTTTTAGGCCATTGGATTAAAATTAAGAAATCAATATGAATTAAGTGTCAATTAATGAACATTATGTCTCAAGTATATCTTAACAGTACAGAAAATTGAACATTGTTTCTGATCAGTACAGTATGTAATAACATGGACATTGTCTCACTCATCAGTGAAACAATGTGAAAGGTTCTTCTAAGTTCAATATGAACATTGTATCTCTGATCAGTAAAGTAATATGAACATTATATCTCTAATCAGCACAATGTAACATTATATTTCTTTTCAGTACAATGTGAAAATTATAACTTCACAGTAAAACAAAATGAACATTGTATCTCTGATAAGTACAATAATATGAACAGTGCATTTATACATCAATGCTACATTAGATATTCATCAGTTTCAATATTTAGAAGTGAAATATGATTTGAAATTGTGTTGGTTGTTACACACAAATTTATTGGTTGAATTCCCATAAAAAGCACAATTATTAAAATATGGTTATTGCTGTTATACACTTTGAGAAATGATGAAATATATGAAAGTTCAGATATATAACCAGTCTATTTTATATAATAAACAATGCAATATTAGATTTATGCCACAAAACAACAAATTACATGTTTTGTGTTTTAGGGAGAGGTGATGTGTGTTACTTTACAAAAAATGAACTATTAATCCCTGTATCCAACTTTAAAAAAACCCATAATAAACAAAAAGCTTTAACCCCATTAGATTCTATTATTTTCATACAATATTAGGAATGTTTGCATTAGATGCATATGTGGTATTTCTTTCCTTATTATTGAATGATCGAAAATAATGCCATTAATATTATAGTAACTGATGAATAAGACTACGTTAAATGTGATGCTCTCGCGTTCAATGCACAATGACACTGCTTATGGCAGTGACGTAACTCAGTAACAGCACATTGGATGGTTTGCAAAAACTGTTCATGTGTAATACTTGCAATGCCCAACCTTACGCACAGTGAAACTCCATAGAACATATACGTATGTGTTTTGCTCTATAGTCTAAAACACCATGTTAATGTTAGGTTAAATATTCATGAAGACGCAATACCATAGTTTACGTTTTACAGCAGAGTCAAAATCACTCGGGACATTCCTGCGTCGAACGACTTCCGCGCTTAGAAATAGAGTTACGTCCCTTGAAAATTATCATAAATTTTGCTGCTGCGATAAATTTAGGTTTTCAGATGGGCGTATTTAATATGACATTTTTATTGATATAAATGTCTTGGCAAAATGAGCCACATAACGAGACACGCAAGAGTAACACGCGTTTCTTTATGTTGGGACACACCAAATTAATCATTGCTTCTTCCAGAAAGTCTGTATAGAAGGAGGGAAACAAAATAACCTTTTATACAGACTCCCTAATATTGATAGAATCCCAGGTTCTTCATAACCTCATTATACGTTTTTAGGGGGAAAACTTTATTTGAAACTTCATTCTGATCGGGAACTTGGCGTTTTTTAAATGTTGCTAACGTATATATTCTTTGCTTAAAATTAAGTGAGTGAGTATGGTTTTACGCCGCTTTCAGCAATATTCCAGTAATATCCCAATGTACCCATGTCGGGAATCGAACGCTTTAAGCACTAGGCTACCCCTCTGTCCCTCTTAAAATTGAGAGTGACAATGTGAACAAAGAGTATGTTATTATTTTGTACCCAGAATTCCCAGTGATTTTGTACAAAATCTTTATGCATTAGTTTCTAAACTATACATTAATTTTAGTATCCTAAAGTTACTTTACTACTTCTCTTTACAAAATCCTATACATTCGAACAAAGCCAGTGGTGTCGAAAACATGGTGTCATTGGTATTCCACCAGTCGTTAGGTTGTTGCCTCGTTGGTGGTGTTATTTTATTTCTTGCTTATTGCTAAGATGGGCGGTGATAACGACATGTCGGATAAAGGAGGTGTTGGTTTATTTACGTTTCTATTTGCCACAAACGTGTGCATGGTCGTTTTGACTTGCTCCCTGTGTGCATGTGTGGTAGAACTCAATACTTATCAGATCACTTTACCATTGGTAGATAAGTCCTGTACGCCATATACGAGCGGGGATTTTACGTGATCACATCTTTTAAACACACATGCTACATGTGAAAGAAAAAGAATCCTAGAAACCCTTTCGTTTGGTAGTCGTGTTATTTCTATCAAAAATATCACAACGTGAGTTTGTGTCAGTGTACGTGTGCGCCTTGGGGATCTCGGGTATAAACATATAGGATACTAAATGGATCGAGTGGTCAGGCTCGCTGACTTGGCTGATTGAGTGTCATCCTATCCCAACTGCGTAGATCGAGGTCAATCACTCTAGGGCAGACTTCTTTTTACATACTGCCGTCATATACAGTAAACTACGGTTATAACGAACTTAAAGGGACCACTAAATTTAGTTCGTAATAACCGTAGTTCGTTATAAGGGCATATACAGCCTATATACAGCGAATGGGCGGGGCCAAAAAACAGTTCGTTATATCCGTCAGTTCGTTACAAGCGTGTTCGTTATAAACGTAGTTTACTGTAGCTGGAAACTGCTGAGTGCGGCGTTAACCAACAAACAAACAAATCAGACCCAAAAAACACATTCTACTGTCGGTCATATGCAAATAATGACGAATCTATCAACACTGTTGTGGATCTGAATTTCGTATAATTGTCTAACGAAAGGAAATCATAAACCAAAAGGATTGGCTGACATGTTCTGAGCCAAACTATGATGGACTTCGATGATAATTATTGTCAACATGATCCCATCCGAGGTGTACACATTTCTGCCAACGATGTTGGAGTGCCTGGATCTCACTGGTGTGGAAGGCTTCCTTCTGGTGGTTGTAAGAAGTCCTCCACAGCAGAAATGACCTCATCAGTATTTGCATAATGCTTACCAGACAGATCTTTCTTCATGTTTGGGGAGGTGGAAATCTGACGAAGCATTACTTCATTTTACACGTATATATTTATGAATTGTTTGATAGGCATTACTTAGAAGTTGACGGATGACAAGGTAGACACAATTTTATGGATAACAACTTCTTTAATACTGTAAAAAGCGACGTTTCGGTATAGATCTTTATACCGTTGTCAAGCACGACTTTGTTATATATTTATGGTAAAATGGTGTACATGTAGAAGAATTGTTAATATATCGACAAAACATTCACGAAATAATTAATCGTTGTTACTGAGTGCTATGTGCTTCTGTACGAGCAGCTTCGGAAAAATATGGTTTCACTGTATATTCCTGTCCTCGATCATCCAGTGCAATATATTTCTATGAGTTATATAGTGATATAATACGCTGGGTAATCGAGAATGGCATCTTCCCTGCAATATTATCAAACTGTTCTGACTTCATTTCTGGCTGAACAATATGGATAACCATATATTGTCCATCACCTGTGCAAGCTTATATTATTCAGGCATCTGCGGGCCTCTAATACCAGGGATCATATACCGATACATTGCCCTCGTGGTTTATTCTCCATGCAGTGTTTCATTGTACGATAAACAACACCCACTCATCGTTTATTTCTTAAATGAGATATTGACATTATGTTCAGCTATTTCTGTTTGTAACGTGAGTGAGTGTGTGAGTTTGGTTTAACGCCGCTTCTAACAGTATTCCAGTTATATCACGGCGTGTCAGGTTAATGTGGGGGGAAAGCCCGAAGTGGTGCAGGTCTCAGACGTTTACCACTTCGGTGAAACCCACGAGCACGGGACTGACAAACCTAGAAACATAATCGGGGCGAACCGGGATTCGAACCCACAATCATAGGTTTCTGGCGTGCCCAAGGGACGTAACTCTGCACAGCGAATCGCGGCGCCTTAGACGACTGGGCCACCCGTGCTCCCCCCCCCCCCCCCCCCCCCCCCCCCCCCCCCTGTTTGTAACGCCGAATGAAAGCTTCCGTTATCATTCCGTAAGACTTGTGCATTCAGTACTTTCAACGACAGGAGACTTGCTATCTATAGATGGCAACATATTAAACAAAGATTTTGAACAACATCCACATAACTAGTATCTCACCTATACAGCACAGGATGTTTCGCAAAAGAAAACCAAAAAACGCAAACCAAGACACTGTTTGGCGTGATGTAGTTCAAAACAATTTTAATAACTCTTACAGCTTAGACATGTCCGATGCTATTCCCTATTTTGACCTGTACCTTATGTTCCGGTGTTGTTGTTTTTCAGGTGGACAATTGGTTGGGTTTGCATGTGTTTGTGACCGGTGCCATCTGCAGGATGCGCTCACCTTTTCGCGAACACCTGGTATCTTTACTATTTGATAGTGCATGCTTATGATATAGTCGGAATCCTACATAGCGTTTGGTCGCTTTTATTTGCATACTATCTTACTTATCTATCAAAATTTGTTTCTTAATCTTAATTTTTTAATCGTATTTGTTGTTATATTTAATCTTGCGATTTCGGAAACGATGGATAACTGCAAATCCCACAAGGTTTATTGTTACTGTAAGTGTTACTGTAAATTGTTGTGTAAGTTACTGCTGTGTGAAGATGGTGTTTACTGTTTACCACGGCATAATCACCGTCCAACTGTTATTGCTCATATCGACCGGTTGGGACGACTGTATAAGGGAGGTAATTGAGTATTCGCTCTTCTGAAAGCGGAGGCGTGGTAGCCGTAGAAATGGAATGGCAGAACTTATTGTATAATTTGATTCTACACAATCTATGCCTGTAAATACCTCGCAGAGGTTTGTTTTCCTACAGCATTATACTACTGCATTCAAAGGTTATTTTACATGACTCTAGGTGACGGAATGGGATGTATTTAGACGCAGAATCCTGGAAGCAGAAACCGGAAGTAGGGTAGTTGCTGTTGCTACAGTTCTGCCCAGATAATAGAACCAGTAAAGTGTGGGGTGTTTGAGAAGTATGGTACAGTGCGAACTAAGCTGTTACTACAATTACTGTCACTCTACGAGACAGCGATGAACTCTGTAGTTTTGGATCATGTAATCACAACTGTTATGCATTTGTTTTTACCGTCATAAATGTTATTATTTTGTGGATGTATGACATGAGAATAGATTGCACAAATTAATTACTTAATTATCTACTTGAACATTAATCCATCAGCCTCTAATCAAATGTATAAAAGGCAGGTAATATATTCGACTACTAACAAGACATGTGAGACAATAGTTAACACATGCATTTTGTCCTTGTGATATTATCTTGATACCTTTCCGTATAGCCTATAGATTGGAAATACTTTTTAGCATTGTTTTATAATGTAAGGTTTTGTATTGTCTCCAAACATGCCAACACAACAAAGTTCGAAATGATGAATTTGTGAAAAACACATTGGTCTATACTTTTTCTTTATGGAAATTATTATAAAATTTGCTATAAAAAATAGCCAGAATTTACAAGTTTTACCCGCTGAAACACAGAAACAGATTGCAAAGAAACATTCAAATTTCCAGTACATTCGTAATAGACATGTAATGTATGTCCAACTTTTGAAGGCTCAGTGAAGTGTCACTTGAATTCCAAGTGCATGTTACCATCTGAGACATGCATAGAGATGCATAATTAGCTTAGGAACCAGCCATGTAAAGATAAAAGTATTTAGCTGTCTTTTTGTGAAGTTAGCCTCAAATCTATTCCAAAAGTCTAGTGCCAACACATATATGGAAGTTTTACATTCCGGTATGTCTGTATCTTACTACATTTCATGGAGACCCGTGAAGATCCGGGGTAGAATAGGTCTTCAGCAACCCAGGCTTGCTGTAAAAGGCGACTATGCTTGTCGTAAGAGGCGAGTAACAGGATTGGGTGGCCAGGCTTGCTGACTTGGTTGATGCATGTCATCGATCCCAATTGTGTGGATCGATGCTCATGATAATAATCACTGGATTGCCTGGTCCAGACTAAATTTTTTACAGACCACAGTCGTATAGCTGGAATATTGCTGAGTGCAGCGTTAAACAACAAACCAACCAACTTTCTTGTATGCAATATGGCGCTTGTCATGTGTCCCTCCTACAGGTTTTCTTTGTCCAGGTTGGATCAGTCAATCTGATAGTAGATTGCTACTGAAATTGTCAACCTTTAATGGTTCAGGCAAATTGACTGTCCCAGCAAAATTGAAACAAGTCAAACAAAGCCAAAGTTTAAGATGTACAGTATTCAACATAATAAGCGCCCCGCTCTAATATGCGCCCACAGCGATATTTGCTAATATATTGGCTAGTGAACAATCCCAATTAGCACCACTTCCCATTGATCAATGTACACAAGACTTATTTATTCGCGTATAATACGAACTCGTGTGTTATATGCACCCTTAATTATGGGCAATTAAATTCTGGAAAAATATATCTCTCGTATATAAACATTTCAGGCTGTCAGCATAAACCACGAAATTTATCTTTCAACTCTGTTTTTTTTCACCAAAATATTATTCCAATAAGAGCCCACTATTTCTTATTTTGAGAGCGCCCTGGGCGCTTATTACGTCGGATACGGTATATCAATCTATCACATTCCATTGCCCTATTTGCACAGATACATGATCTAAGATTCACACAAAAAACTAACTACATTTAGGTCTTGACGGGACATAGGGTCAGGACTGGGAGCAGAGTCCCTCTTTAAAGCATGAATAACCAGGAAGTACAGTCGCTTGTGTGTGGCCATTCATTATGTTATGAATAATAACAGGACATTGGGTATTTATAATCTGATGTTTAGGTCCCGGCTATAGTCTTGTTCTCGGCATTGTTCTCTGTATTGCAGTGTAAAACCCCTGTTACTCACTCTCTCAAGCTGTGTTCTCAGCCTGGGGATGGTCTCATGAGCAGATTTGTAGTCCTAGCTAATCTGAATAATATGACAGGGTTAGAAATTAGCACTACTCCTGTAGTCCTTGCCAAACTGCCAATGGTTAAGGTAGCATAAGGACTTGTAGAAATTTGCCATTTCTAACGGTTTAGCTTTATGTTATCATTATAAGGACTACTGGACTGAAAATGTTATTTGCTAATGCTGCATGATATTACATTTGATGATAAATTTGATTACTTTAATTTTAATGAGACACTATTTGAATTCACACAAGGCATCGACTATAACATTTCCATACATGAAAATGGAATCATATAGGTGAACTTGTCACCTCTTTAAGTTCTTGTTGTATTAATGTTATTTATGTTGTGACAGGCAGGTTTCTGAGTAGGGGGGGGGCTGTGCAGAGTTGCATCCCTTGGGCACGCCAGAAACCTATGTTTGTAGGTTCGAATCCTGGTTCGAATGATGGTAGCCATTTTGAAAATGCCATGTCGGCATTTCTGCCCATTACTCATTTCTGCACTTTTTCCCTCTCGACCGGAACCGCTGGGTTTATAAAGCGTCTTTATTTTTAGTCTTTATGTTGTTGTTTTGTAGGGTTATGTATAGACAAGAAGATAAATAGGTCTAGAAATAGGCCTGTATGTACGCAATATTTTTGAATTCGGAACCCATACCCTGGTGATGTAAGTATCACTGTCTGTTAACAAACCATGCCCATGGTCTTCTGAGCCTCCACTGCAGTTTACTGGTTTCAGATGCTGCTCACGTAGGAAGCATGCAGAGGCTGAAGGACCGGAGCCACCAGGCCAAGCTGGCCTGCCGGTTCGAGGACTTGTACCGCAACCGGGTCCTCACCGACGTCATCCTGTTTACAAGTGACGGCATGGAGCTCAAAGCTCATTGGCTCATTCTGGCAGCCTACTCAGAAATATTCAAACAACTTGCAATCAGTCGAAAAACCATGAAGAATGACTGTGTTGGTACTGTTGTGAGACTAGGTATGTACTCAAATAGTAATGGAGAGTATGTTAGTCATGGCCGTGTCAAGGAAACAACCAGGCAGGAAGTTGTGCAGGGTTCAGAATTGTCAGGTTAAAGTCTTGATTAAGGATCTATGCAAATTTGCAAATGTAACATTGAGTCAGTTCACGGTTTTCCTGAGAATGTTGTCTAAACAACATGACTGACATCAGGAATTCCCGGCAGTTTGAGGGCCCTCTAACCTATGCAATGTGTTCTTTGCAGGCCAAATTTAAGTTGGGTCACAGGTGAAAGATTTGACCAGTTGTCCATAGTGAAGGGATGTAAATATTGATAATGGACCTTTAATTTTGTTCGTTTCTAAATTCATAAATTTAAAGGAAAGATAGTTTGACTTACAACAATCGTATGTTTGTATTACTGTTTATTTAATTTATCCATTTTGAAAAGCTTATTAATGGATAGCATTATCTCACTTAAAAGTGCCAGAATCTGCTAGTCATGGGTTGGAGACTGGTTAGGTTCTTTGATGAGGATCTTTTGTCTCTTATCATGATACCAAAGTGCTAAGCATCAATGACCAGCATCAGTTTGGGCTTTCTTTCCACAATAAGTAGACATGCCATGGTGGTAATTGAACTTGCCTCACAATATCACTTACATACATGTATTACAAACTGATGTTTTTGGTTTCAGAGTTCACATCAGACATTGTTGCCATACTGTTGAATTACTGCTACAAAGGTGAGTTGATTATTACCATAGCAACCAAACCCCAGGTCCAGAAGGCAGCACAGCTCCTCTTGATGAATGACATCCTCAAACTGCTGGAGTCCAATGAACTGGATGAACAGGCAACAGATTACCTGAGAAAGGATAAGACAGAAGTCACCTTTGCCCTTTCAGAAACAACGCCTACAGGGGAGATTACTCTAGGTAGACATCAGGAATTCTCCATGCCAGAAGGAAATATTGTCCCAAGAGATGATATAGAAGGAAGGAGGGGAATTAAGACAACTGGAATTTGGCCAGATTCTTTAAAATCAACAACATCTTTGTTGAAACAGTTTTCTGAGATAGTTACTCTTCAATCTGAAGCTGGAAAGTTGAAACCTCAGTCTGTTGCCCCAACATCCTCAAGTGTACCTGCAAAAGATAATTCAAAATACATATCACTCGATTTGTCCAATTTGGAAAAATCAAAGTTGCGAAAAGAAATTATGAGAAGCGAGAATCCATTGCTAAAGAAACAGCCAACCATCCCCGTCCGACGAGTGACATACAATAAGGTGATTTGCCCACGAGAACGAAAGTCCAAAGACACTTGGAAACCTTCCTTGTCCATAAAAATAGCAAAGAAGGTAGCAGAGAAGGTGTTTAATACCAGAATCTTGATGCACTGTTGCGTAACTTTAGACTCCTTGGACACTAATGACAAACTGTTTCTGTGTCGCAAGTGTAACAAGAAGTTCTCTCGATTCAGTTTATGGAGACTCCATTACACCAGTACCCATCTGTCAGAACTTGTTAAGGGAACTACTTTGGAGGAACTACGAACAAACACCAGACATCGTAAAATGAAAATGTTTGGAAAGAGAAAGCGAGAAAGGTACTTTGATTGGGAAGTTTTGAATCCTTTAGGAGAGGACAATGAAGACTCTGTGTCCACTGAAGGCTTTCCTGCACGAGAGTATGATATCGACAATAACATCCAGGTTACCTTTCAGCCTGCTGGAGTTGTTTCCAATGTGTCAGGTGGCCAAATTCAGCCTGCAGCACAAACTCTTCCAGGAATAACCATGACAACACCACCACCAGCTTCTGCAGTGACAGCAGCTATTCCTTTAGGGCAGCCAACAGCACTGCCCGACCACACAATATCCTCCTACATGGCCGCTCCTCAATATAGCACAATACCACTCCCTCAGACCCAGTACTCGTCCACACCCCTCATCACAGTGGCAGGACAGTCCGCATTTCCTGAACAAATGCAGCAGACGACATTACAGCAAACAACAGTGCAGCAGACGACAGTGCAGCAGACGACAGTGCAGCAGAGTTCTCTTGGCCAGACCACAATGCTGGGTGAAAACAATTTACAAATTGAAGTTCCTGTTCAAACTCAGGTACTTACACAAGCGCCTGCCCTGGCTGGCACATCAACTTTGCCTCAAGTTCAAGCCCTCCCTGATCCAAATCTTGCTCCTGCTCCTATTCCTGGCCCATCTGATACACCCAGTGCCTCCATTGCTTCTGCTTCTTCGGTTACTCTTTCCCCCTCCATTGCTCCGAACCAGACTCTGTCCACACAGTCTACAGCTAAACCGACTGACCAGACATCGTCCCAGTGGTTGCCATCACATGAGAGTTGGATGAGCTTTCTGCAGAGTGACTCTTTCACAGCCAGTGTGCTGGGGCCCCCACCCCCCCAGGTGAGACATATAGAATACTAAAAAGCTCCCTTTTAATACAAATTTTATGAACAGTCTAAATAGTCCTGGCATCTGACGAGTGAAAGCAAAGTTTCATGAAATTGGTATTGCAGGGAGTGAGTTCAGTATTTTGTTTATTACTTGTCATTATGACGTTTTATTTCACTGTTGTGTGTAAATTGAGTTGAACAGACTAATACTTCAAACATATTTAAGGTTGACACATATTATTTTGATACCCTACAACGGCCTACCTTTATAATTCAGGGGTCCGATCCTCAAAGCTATCATAGTGCTAAGGTGATACTTTAACATAGACTTATGACTGTCGTTGCGCTTTGTGGAAACTTCCTGCACCACAAAGTTTTCACAATTCCCCTTTGTGAACAATTTGTGAAATTTTGTTGCAAGACTGCTAGGGCTGGGACGTGTAACTCGGGTACCCGGGTCGGGTGGGTACTGAGCAGGACCCGTGGTAAGTCACAAAATATATTGTTTAATGACAAAAATTATCCAGAACTCTATGCTTACACTACAAGTCACTAATGTTCGCATTTCTTTCTGACTATGCACCCATTCCTTCTGACTTTTCATATGGTTGAATAAAGATATAACTTAAGTCAACTTCAGTGTATGCATGACCAGATTGTTTAATACATGTATCTGAATACGTTTTGCAAGTGTTGTGGTAAAAAAATTCCCAATCGGACATTTTGTATCTCTTGAGACCTACAGTGGGTACCCAGGTAGGGTTGGGTAATAGGGGGATGGGTACCCAGGTGATGACCTAAGGTCAAATTATGACGGACTACTTTCCTGTTTGTAGTTAAATGTTCTTTGGACTGGTCGTGTTTGCATTATCATCATCGCCTTGATAATCCATAGATACGATCAAAACTTTTATTGTTGAGGTTTACACTAGGTATGGGTAGTAAGCAGTAGGCTGACGTCACAAATGACCATTGTATTATATATTAATGTGCCACTGTGATCTTGAGAATAAACAAAATATGCATTGATTCGATGTTAAAATTGTGTGATTTTCGGATCTCTTCATTTTCAGATACTGCAGTAATCTTGACTTGCCAAATATTATAGAAGGCATGGGGGGTATTGGATATATTTGTTTCAGGGTCTGTATGACCCTTGCCTGTCAGGTTGTAAGATAAAAGGTATCTTGTGCAGTAATCTCTATATGTGGTATTCAGCAAGGGACATAAACACACCCACACACCTACACCCACACACCTACACACACACACACACACACACACACACACACACACACACACACACACACACACACACACACACACAATAGGCGAGACAGCGTTTTTACCTTGGTATCAACTATACAATAGGGTCTTGTTATCCTGTACCTACCTCAACTATACACGCACACACAAACACATACAAATACACCCACCCAATAGGTGAGACAGCGTTGTACCTTGGTATCAACTATACAATAGGGTCTTGTTATCCTGTACCTACCTCAACTATACACGCACACCCAAACACATACAAATACACCCACCCAATAGGTGAGACAGCGTTTTTACCTTGGTATCAACTATACAATAGGGTCTTGTTATCCTGTACCTACCTCAACTATACACGCACACACAAACACATACAAATACACCCACCCAATAGGTGAGACAGCGTTGTACCTTGGTATCAACTATACAATAGGGTCTTGTTATCCTGTACCTACCTCAACTATACACGCACACCCAAACACATACAAATACACCCACCCAATAGGTGAGACAGCGTTTTTACCTTGGTATCAACTATACAATAGGGTCTTGTTATCCTGTACCTACCTCAACTATACACGCACACACAAACACATACAAATACACCCACCCAATAGGTGAGACAGCGTTGTACCTTGGTATCAACTATACAATAGAGTCTTGTTATCCTGTACCTACCTCAACTATACACGCACACACAAACACATACAAATACACCCACCCAATAGGTGAGACAGCGTTGTACCTTGGTATCAACTATACAATAGAGTCTTGTTATCCTGTACCTACCTCAACTATACACACACACACAAACACATACAAATACACCCACCCAATAGGTGAGACAGCGTTGTACCTTGGTATCAACTATACAATAGGGTCTTGTTATCCTGTACCTACCTCAACTATACACACACACACAAACACATACAAATACACCCACCCAATAGGTGAGACAGCGTTGTACCTTGGTATCAACTATACAATAGGGTCTTGTTATCCTGTACCTACCTCAACTATACACACACACACAAACACATACAAATACACCCACCCAATAGGTGAGACAGCGTTGTACCTTGGTATCAACTATACAATAGGGTCTTGTTATCCTGTACCTACCTCAACTATACACACACACACACTCATGCATGCATGCACGCACAAACACACATACAAATACAAATACACCCACCCAATAGGTGAGACAGCGTTGTACCTTGGTAGGGTCTTGTTGTAGAATGGGTCCCAAGTTCTCTATGCTTGTTGACTATGAGGATTACGTGGTTACAATGTTAGATCACCCATGCTGTCAACAACTAGTTTTCTGTCCGAGACTTCTTTATTTACACGCTATCCTGATAGAGCTGTAAAATAGCTGACTGGAAAACATCCACTCCTACACTCTCTCTCTTCCCCTTCCAGCCACAGAACACACAGTACATCACTATGGTGAAGTGTAGTGTGAAGGGCTGCAGCTTCGCAGGCTACAGCACGAGGGCGGTCAACAAGCACATGCACGACACCCACCTCAACATGGAGTGTTCCTACTGTATGTTTGCCTGCAGCAACAAGGAGGAGCTGGAGAGACACATCGCAGAACGCCATGAGCGGAAGAAGGCTCGGCAGTATTCGTGTTCGTCGTGTGGGAAGAAGTTCTCCAAGGCTATCCACCACCGCACACATGAGCAGTCTCACCATGGCATCAATCATAATATGAAGGTAGGAAACGGCAGTTGTCGCCTTTCCCTGATTGGTCTGTTTGTGAGTCTGGACCAGTTACATTTCTACAGGTTTAGTTATTATTCTAAATGTTCGAATGACAGGAAGCATAGTTATGATTACAAAGTGTGGCACTAATGTCAGGGTTGATTTGAAGCTAATTTTCTGTTTAAAAACTCTTGAAATACAAAGTGAAAACAAAACAAGGTTCTGACTAAGCAGCCTGTAAAACTAAGGTTCTCATTTGTGAAAGAAAAAAGATATCTGACTTGCTACACTAATGTTTTGACTGGTAATAACAAGGTAATATTTATTAAGAGACAGTTGTAACGACAGTTGTAACTCATAATAATTAATGAGTTAGACTGTTGCATCATCACTGATGGTTGGTGCAAGCTGTTTGAATTCCATGGGAAAAAAAGGAAGCAGAATAAACCATGTACTGACTATATAAGATTTCAAAACCTATTGGCATCAGTGTTATTTACCATATTTGCATATGGCCTACTGACCAAGGGGCCTACATCATGTTGCCTACTGACTAAAGGCCTTACATCATGTTGCCTACTGACAAAAGGCCTTACATCATACTGCCTATTGACTAAAGGCCTTACATCATACTGCCAAATGACTAAAGTCTCTATGTCATACTGCCTACTGGCTAAAGGATTTACATCATACTGCTTACTGACTAAAAGTCTCATCATACTGCCTACTGGCTAAAGGCTTTACATCATGTTGCCTACTGTCAAAAGGCCTTACATAATACTGCCTACTGACTTAAGGCCTTCCATGCTGCCTTCTGACTAAAGTCTCTACATCGTACTGCCTACTGACTAAGGGACTTACATCATACTGCCTACAGACAAAAGGTCTTACATCATACTGCCTACTAAGGGCCCTACATCATATTGCCTACTGACTAAAGTCTCTACATCATACTGCCTATTAAGGGCCCTACATCATACTGCCTACAGACTAAAGGCCTTACATCGTACTGCCTACTGACTAAGGGTCTTACATCATATTGCCTACTGACTAAGGGTCTTACATCATATTGCCTACTGACTAAAGGCCTTACACCATACTGCCTACTGACTAAAGGCCTTACATCATATTGCCTACTGACTAAGGGTCTTACATCATATTGCCTACTGACTAAAGGCCTTACATCATATTGCCTACTAAGGGTCTTACATCATACTGCTTACTGACTAAAGGCCTTACACCATACTGCCTACTGACTAAACACCTTACATCATATTGCCTACTGACTAAAGGCCTTACACCATACTGCCTACTGACTAAAGGCCTTACATCATATTGCCTACTAAGGGTCTTACATCATACTGCTTACTGACTAAAGGCCTTACACCATACTGCCTACTGACTAAACACCTTACATCATATTGCCTACTGACTAAAGGCCTTACACCATACTGCCTACTGACTAAAGGCCTTACATCATATTGCCTACTAAGGGTCTTACATCATACTGCTTACTGACTAAAGGCCTTACACCATACTGCCTACTGACTAAACACCTTACATCATATTGCCTACTGACTAAAGGCCTTACACCATACTGCCTACTGACTAAAGGCCTTACATCATATTGCCTACTAAGGGTCTTACATCATACTGCTTACTGACTAAAGGCCTTACACCATACTGACTAAAGGTCTTACATCATACTGCTTACTGACTAAAAGGCCCGATATTGTACTGACTAAAGGCCCTACATTGTACTGTCTAGAGACCTTATGTTGTACGAGTAAAGGACCTACATTGTAATGACTAAATGCCCTACATTGTACCGAGTAAAGGACCTACATTGTACTGCCTAGATACCTTATGTTGTACTGACTAAATGCCCTACATTGTACTGCGTAAAGGACCTACATTGTACTGACTAAAGGACCTACATTCGACTGCCTACTGACAGTTAACCCCCTGATCAGGACCCTAATGTTTTCTCCATCTGTCCCAGGAGTACAAGTGTGAGGTGGAGGGGTGTGAGTTCCGTACGCTGGCCAAACACAACTACTTCAAGCACAAGATGACCCACCAGGAGAAGATGTACTCCTGCCAGTACTGTGGCATCAAGATCAGGACCATGGAGTGAGTAGTGTAGGCTTATAGTGGCCACCTAGTCAGTGGAAAGTGAATCAGGTTGTCACAACTTGACAGGCCCTCTACATGTTCATACATTGGTTTTGTTTGTTTGTTTGTTTGTTTGTTTGTTTGTTTGTTTGTTGTTTAATGTTGCACTCAGCAATATTCCATCTATATGGTGGCGGTCTGTAAATGAATCTGGACCAGATGATCCAGTGATTGACATTCATGATCTACGCATTTGGGATACGATGCCATGCATCATCAAAGTCACCAATCCTGACCACCCGCCTATTCGCCCCTTATGACAAGCATGGTTGTCTCTTACAACAAGAATGGCTTCCTGAAAACCTATTCTAACCTGGATCTTCTGGGGGTCCAAGGTCACAAAAGCGTGACAAATATGTAAATAGACTTGGAATTATTTGTTAGACTTCGAGGTTTGGGTGGTCAGGCTCAGTGACTTGGTTGTTGACGTGTCAGTTTACCCCTACACAGCATGGATCATTTGCTCATAGTATCAATCACTGGTTTTTGTGGTCTAGATTCGATCATTTACTGGCTGTTATCATATTGATGAATGATGTTAACAAACAGAAACAGATTGGTATACTTAATGTAATTACATAAAGAACTGTACTGTTTTTCTACATCATCTGCAAAAACAGTTTAGTTCCAATATTAGAAAAATGCATCCAGAAAACATGGAAATCACCATTTTGTGACACAAAAGCCCTAACTTTGCATTTGATCTGTCATGTATATAAACACATCGATTAAATTTCAAAATATCTTCTAGTTTTAAAAGTCTTTTCTGAAATGATGCAGATCTAGTTGGTCACATATTGTCCCGATCATCACTCATCCCTTGTCCGTCTCCAAAACTGATCCCATTACTGTTCCTGATATTTTTACTGATAAATTTTCATTACTTTTTCTCATTGAAGATTTAGTTACTATTTTACTGGATGCATTGTTTGCCTTATTTACCTAGATAGTCATGATCAAGGGCAGTAAAGTCTTCATTGCATCAGTTTTGTCAGTTTTGAAACAAGTATGTTTGTCACAGTTACTTGCAGCGTCACATCAACAAGCAGCACCTGAACATCCGCCCCTTCCAGTGTGAGCACTGTGGGTCGGCCTTCGGGGACATGCACGCCCTCAAGTCCCACATCTCCGCCGTCCACGTCAAGAAGAAGGAGTTCAAGTGTGAGCACTGCTCCTACGCAGCAAACATCCGATACAAAGTAGCTAGTGAGTATTGTTCAACAAGGGTGGAAACTGGACTTTTAAAGCCAGTTAACGCTCTTGCCTCGGGAAGATGGTAAGCACCATGTGATTTCATAGCTATTAAAAACTACAAAAATCACCAGTTTGTTGGATAAAATCTTGAATGAATGATCGCTTTAGACGATGTTCAGAGTCTGTTCCTACTACAGTTACTGTGATGAACCATATGAGCTCTGCTTATAATAGTACATGTAAGAACTGTAAAGCCTGCAGCAAATGTTACATTACTTAGAGTCCAGCTTGTGCTAGCAGCAGAGATGCCAAACCTAATTGAAGCCGTCAATTAATCAGTGGATGTAAAAGAGTAATTTCATGTGAAAAAGAGAAATGCTAACAGTACCAGTAGTTCCTACCTGAGCCCATTTTGACATTACAGCCAATCAGAGACATTGTATCACGGAGTAATGGATATTTTAACATTATGTGAATTGACAGCTTGGCTCTCATTTGTCAGCGTAGTTTTGCTGAGGAATGCTTCATATCAAGGGTGCATTAACAATTTGCTCTCCTTGACACTTTATGTATTGGAGAAAACACGCTTACGAGGTTTTGGTAGACAGAGCATGCCCTGGGGAGAGGGAAAAAACAAGGGGGCGAAGCCCCCACGGTTTTTCCCGACCCCTAGTGCATGCTCTGTCTACCAAAACTGAGGGAAAGTGTTTTTCCATACTCATAAACCGAAAAAAGAAACTTAAAACAACATTTATCAACATTTTTATGTTTCGAAAAACTTTCCATGAACCTTAGGAAAAATATCTGTTGCTGGCGTACAGATCTTGAAAAGGACATTCTAAAAACCAGTGAGGCTTATCAACACCTCTGTAGCCTCGTGGTACACTCACTGGGCTACAGATATGAAGGTTGCGAGTTCGATCCTCGGGAATATAAAGAAAACATTTGTCATTTGATTTTACATTTCATTACATGTTACAATCTGAACGGAAGTTATGTTAATAAAATCCCTGGGATATTATAGCAAATATGACTTGAATATCCTATAAAATCCCTGGGATATTATATAAAATCCCAGGGACATTACAACGTCCCTGTTTATGAGATTTAACCTGACTGGAAAGTAAAACCTCACAATAGGTTTTAATGCCTATAGAACGAAGTCTCTTACTTAATAGCGATCCCAATGAATAGGTTTATAAGCATGTAAATAATCTTTGTACCCACAGGACTCCCCAGACATGGGGTTAGTCACGTGATATTTTCTTTAATGACAAAAATTCACTGTAACTCCAGGGTTACACTACCAGTCACTAATGTTTGCTTTTCTTTGTGACTATGCACCCATTCCTCCTGACTTTTATATGTTTGAATGTAGATGAAACTTCAGTCAAATTCTTCAGTGTATGCATGACAAAATCCTTTATATGTGTATCTGAATACTTTTTACCAGGGCTCCAATAAAACAATTCCCAATCAGATTTGTTGTAACCAACTCTTGATACCTACAGCGAGGGTCCCTTGGTAGTAAATTTGGACTCATCCCAGCCTTCGGTGCTAAGTCTTATGGGGTGACTAACGGGATCTGGTGGTGAGGCTTGCTGACTTGGTTGATGCATGTCATTGTATCCCAATTATGTGGATCGGTGCTCATGATGTCAATCACTGGATTGTCTGGTCCAGACTCAATTATTTACAGGCCGCCATCATATAGCTGGAATATTGCTGAGTGCAGTGTTAAACAACAAACAATACAAAAAAAACACAACTGAATTGTGACTTTGTGTACCCTGACAGTGTGGATCACCTGCATTCACCCTGGTTTGGTGCAGACGCCATTGTTTATTACAGACTGCCCTGATAGGAGTGAAATAGTTGTGAATGAAGCGGAAAACTAAATTCACAACACATTGCTGGTGTTACACTGTTCTGTAAACCTCCATCTGCTCTTCGATATTCACTACAGGATTACAATAGCAGTTTTGATTACTGAATTTTGGAGACATGGTCCAAGTATTTATTATATAGGAGACTTGAAGAGCCTTGCATGAACTGCATGAAAGATGAGTAGAAGAAACACTCGAGAGTTAAAATCTTGGAAACCAGGCAAAACATTGATCCAGGGCCCCATTGCACAAAGCGATGTTAGAACTACGACTGTCGTAACCATGTGTTCAAGAATGGAAGTTACGATCGTCTTAGTGCTCTGGGCCCTGTTCCACAAAGTGATCTTAGCGCTAAGTCGATCGTAACTCCCATTCTTTAACACTGACTTACGACAGTCGTAGCGCTAAGATCACCTTGTGTAACGGGGCCCTGATCTCTTTGTGCTGTGGGGCCTTGGAAGATTGTTTTTTTCCTGTTCTTTCTGAATCTGGTTTAATAATGTTTACATTTACATGCTTGATGAAAATTACAATTCTTTCAGCCCACATGTATCAAGTCCATGGCATCCGAGCCTCATTTGACAAACGCAAGGAGATCAAATGTCCACACTGCAACTACACAGCCCTGGTGAAGTCTTGGATGACCAAACACATGGACCGACATGCTACTACCAAAAACTACACGTGTGAGTTGTGCGGGAAGACTTTTGGGTCCCCTCGAAACCTTAACTCCCACACGCGGTGGGCACACAAGACTGCCAAGCACCAGTGCCCTCACTGTGAATACATTACCAAGACGCCAACCAGGCTGAAGAACCATATCAAAACTCAACACATGTTCCGGGGCTACAAGCCGTATACGTGTCCGTACTGTCCGTTTAAGTGCGCAACAGGCGGGAACTGTCGCAAACACGTGATGCAGAAGCACCCTGGACAGACCGTGACGTATAACCGGAACGAGGAGCTCATCGCGTACATGAAGGCTGCTGGGAGAACAACAGAGGAGGATGAATCCTTCACCCAGGTGGTTTCCTAAGCTGCTGATGCTGCTGCAACCGAACACATAACTGAATAACCAGAAATGCAATCATTTCTACAAGGTTAAAAAATTCTTTCAATTAACCTGGCTTGACCAGGGTACAGACTGGTTCTGTGTTCAGTGTCTGCTGCATTGTCAATACTTTCAAGTAAAAGGCTGCTTCTCACTGGGCGGTGTGTGCAACATGGGTCATAGCTTGGTGTTCTTCAGGTCTACTCACTGCTTCCATGACAACAGTAGTAGGGTTCACAGAGAGTTCATACAAGTCTGTGAAGTATGTGTCTGTTGTAGTGTTGTTGTTTGTGAAGGACCATGGTTAGTTTTGAGTGGCTTGCCTGTGTGAAGGCAAGAATTAGAAATACATCTGTGAAGGAACAGCCGTCAACCGTGTCCCTCTAGATTGCTATATTTCACTTGAAATGTGGTTAAGTAATATTTTCTATCAGGTTTCTGACAAATGAGAGTAGAGATTTATAAGAAGCTATGTCACGCAAACTGTTTAAATCAGAGTGACAGTTATCAAGGGAGACTATTCTTGAATTAGTTATTTCCAAAACACAAGTCAGATATCGTGATTGATTCACTGCTATAAAATCTGGTGTCAAGACTTGGGTAGAAAATGGTACAGATATTTATGTGAATAGACATAACACCTACATGGATCAACACCAGTGTCGTACTGGTGAACGTCATCTATCTGGCTAGTTCCCCTCAAACTGATTTGATGCAGAAGCAATACAAGGACTGTGATATTACACACATCAGTCACATAGTTAAGACTACAGTAAGATTATAAGGGGATGGAATCAATATGGGAGGAGAATGGGTCTGTGGTCTCAGCGCGTCCGCCCGAAGGGGTCATTGGTTCGATCCCCCAACAGCGACACACCAAATGATGTTAAAAGATGGTATTTGTTGTTAAGATTAAATGCAGACTGGTCAGCTCGGAGTCAGTATACAGTGTCTGAGTGGGGTATCCATGTAATACTGCAGCATGGCATCTCAGTGGGCTAGCACTAGAAGTCCACCATTAGTCAGGACGAGCACAAGAAGCCAACATGCATGTGCGTGCACATCACTAAGTAAGTGCAATAATTTTGAATGCGACATTAAACCCAATTTCACCTCACCCATTATGGGATGGTGGGCTTGGTAAAAGAACCAAGGTCACCCTAAACATGACAGGCTTGGAACCACTGAGGTTACACAAAGATATATGCACAATCTTTGGAGAAACAAAAAACGTTATCTGTTAAAGTCTGTTCTTTTGATTTTCATGGTGATGAACAATTCTGCAGATCACCATCACAGTGGATGGTACAGAACATGGATCAACATGGCAAAAATATGAATGTAGTGACACGTGCCAATATGATAGCTAAAAGGTCAGCATAGGTTAGGCGTCTTGTCAGTCCAAAGATGAACATTCTTAGCATCACTGATACCATGTTACATATAGTGAGTGTTAATACATATATGGAGACACTTACAGACACTTACTCTTACGGAGACACTGCAAATACTCTCGTGGAGAATAGCTTGACATCTGTATTGAGGTGTTTGCTGTTACGTGTGTTAGTTTTATTGATATGATTTGGTAGCTTGAATATATAAAAGCAATAATTTGAGCAGTTTGTTGTGATTGAAAAGTGTCCCTACTTCATGTTAGAAGTTGGTTTTACATTAGCATGTCTCATACCTACTTTGTTAATCATTATCATGATCTATGTAATGTGGTGATCAATGACTTTCGATTGTTTTGACATTAATTTGTCTGAAGCTTCTATACATTTATTGATTTCATTATTTTGGTTAACATAACCAGGAACAGTGTTTGAAATAAAATAAATTGCCAGGCTGCCATCAGGACCCACAGACTTTAGAAGCTGCAGGCCCTGACTAAACTCTTCACACCCTCATTTAAGATATGCAGTTTATTGTGACAAATAAATCAACATGTAAATTTACAGCCATAAGGACCCATACAAATCTGAAACTATGGGCCCAACACAAGATCTGCCTGCCACAGGCCCACGGGCAGGTGCGTTTTTCCAACACTGACCAGGAATAATAATGTTTCAGAATTACACCCAACTTGAGCTTGTTTTCAAAAACATAATTTCATGTATCCCTAACGTTGCAAATGGAAATGAACAGTCATTCAGTTATGATAAACACAGGTGTTGTGTGCAAACAGTTGTAAGAAACATGGATGGGGTGTACGAACTGTTATAACAAACATGAATGTAGAGTATAAACAGTTATAATGAACTGAGATTAGTGTATAAACAGTTGTAGCAAACACAGATTAGGGAATAAACAGTTATAACAAACAGATTTGGGTGTAAACAGTTATAACAAACACAGATTAGGGTTTTAACAGTTATAATTAAGAATCCTGACTGCATGTCTATTTCTCATATAGAATTCATGAGAGTAACAGATTTTTAACTAGTAAACAAATAAAATGTAGAACAGTCTGTTTTTAGTCAATGCTATGTATTGTACAAACAAATTCTGCATTGAGTAGTTTGAACATTTTTTACAGCCATTTTTACTTTTGTATCGACTCTGGTAGGCTGTAGAGCATCCGCAGCACAATTTGGTTTTTCTGGTCCATTCAGTTTTCTCCAAGGTTCAAACAGCAGCGGGAATTGTTTCTTGTTCCATCACTCCATGGCTTTGAATCCTTGAGTTCTATTTTCTTTTATGTTTAAGGAAATACCTTGCGTGTTATCTGGTCAAATTTTAGCAAATCTAGTTTTGAATCTGCGCTGGTATATATGTTTGTTTTATCATTAGTGGTTAGGACGAGATATACAAAACTTTCTGTTTCATTCGTTACCACAGCATATGGGAAGTGTCTTTCTGGAAAGTTGAAAGATAATTTTCAAATGCCCATAGTGCTAATATAGTTATATGTACTAGTTCTTGATGAAATACATTTTCACTGAATTAAGCATGTTGGTTAAGAACGTTGTCAAGTATTTATTACTATAAAAGACATATTTACAGGCTGGTGTATATTTGTTATTTTCTATAATTGATTAATGGCATAGTACTGCATATTGTTTTTGTTATCTTTCAACAAATACCTTACACCTTTTTTTGTGTTTGCTTTCTTTTTATCAACATTTACATCAGTATCTTATCCTATGAATGTCTTAGATATGTGCTATTGTAACTATAATCACTAGTCTTTAAGGTATAGACTCCAAGATGTGAAAAGACGGATTGTACATATTTATGATGAAATATACTATGTATTACTCGCTGATGTTCAACTGAAGATGGGGGCGGTCGGGTTGCCTAGTGGTTAAAGCGTTCGCTTGTCACGCCGAAGACCCGGGTTCGATTCCCGACATGGGTACAAAGTGTGAGCCCATTTCTGGTGTCCCCCGTCGTGATATTGCTGGAATATTGCTAAAAGCGGCGTAAAACCATACTCATTCAACTGACAATGAGGCTGTCAGTATCATCCAACGTGAAGTTCCCCCTGAAAATATAGTGAAACTGGATTGTTCTCCCCGACTGGAAGGTCTTGATGTCAACTTAGCTTAACCTGCATGGGTTAGCTACAATCCATCATCTGCTGGGTACATAGCTACCATTCACTCAACAGCAACTTGTTTGTGAAGTTTGATACCGGGTTTACTGCCTCAGGCATGTCTGTTTTCAGACAGTGACCAAGACGGTTAGCTTGATGCCTTCATGTTTACAGGTTTACGAGTTTTGACAAAATACATTTTCAATCAAAATATTTGGTGTACTTAAAGAGGAGTGGTTTTTTAACTAAGATGTATTAACAATTTCATGATATTCTGTAATATGCACTGTGACAGAGCTTGTGAAGGCCGGAGCAAAATCAGCATCGGACTGTTATAAGAAAGTTACCAGTGACTGCCTACTGGTAGTGAGTGAATGAGTGAGTTGGGTTGAAAGCTACTTTTAACAGTAATCCAGTTATATCGCGGCATGTCAGCCTAATGTGGGAGGAAAGCCCAAAGTGATGCAGGTCTCAGATGTTTACCACTTCAGTGAAACCCACGATCTTGGGTATGGGCCAGGCAAACCAGTGGTTGATAGCATGAGCATCATCTACTGTTCTCTGGATGACAGTCATGTGACAGAGATGCTGGTACCCACCGACCCCAGTCCCAGGGTGTAGTGAAGCAAATGGACCGGTACAGACAATGTTACCCTCCTCTTAACTTGAACATCATCGAACATGTTACTGTGATGGTGAAGTAGGTAGAGTCAGACCCTGGTTTTGTTACCTTAGGCATATCCTATGATTATTATATGCTTCATATACACTGTGAGCAGTTTGTTAGATAAAATATTGAATAAAACATAACATAGACAAGTGTGTTTGTTGTTCAGTGCAACTTTTTCATTATAATTGTCTACTGTTATTTTTTTATTAAGGAGCAAGTTAGTGAAAGTTGTTTTGCACTGAGGTTAGTGGTTACAAGCTATGTTCATAACCAAAAGCATAAGCAGATTTTTATTCACAAACAGATAAACATTTGCAATTTTTTTTAAAAACAAATGTTGGTGAATTTAATTGTTCATGATCCAAAAACTGACCAATTTAATAATAGTGACATTTCACAGTAAAGAATTGTCCATTCGAAAGCGCATGATTTGGTCGTGTTGCCACCAATCTCATTAAAATCAGATCTTAGCGCTCGCAGCTGCTACACAAAGATCTGAAGATATTCCATTACAGAACGACCTTGCAAGAACTGAGATCTGATTTGAATGAGATTGCATTTCCACCTCCAACAATTGTCTGTGTTTGTTGTCTATTACTGTTTAATGCCACACAATTGGGATACGATGACATGCATTAACCAAGTCCGCGGGCCTGACCATCGAGTTAGTCACCTCTTAGGACAAGCATAGTCACCTCTCACACATGGGTTGCTCAAGCAAATTCTAATCCAGATCTTCATACGTCCATTTGTCTATGACAAGCACATGACCTGTTTGCTTGTATGATTGATAGGAATAACATCCTTCACCATTGTTATGATGACACACAAGCAACCAATCCTGCCTCCATGGGAACCACAGTAAACAATACTGTTTGAGAAGTGTAGCCTCAATCCTGGTGAGTACTTCAGATCTCGTGGCATTGACATTCTGAAATAATTCCACATGACCAATAGGAATAAGCTTAAGGTCGAATTTTTTCATTTTTTTAGACATTAATTTGACGTAATTGTTGCAAATTCAAGAGAAAGCTTAGTTGAGCTGATGAACGTTATTTCTCTGTTTCCATTATGCATATTCTCTGGCTCTTCCTGATCATAAACAACACAAAACACTTGAGCTTCCTTCAGGATTTATTTTGTATAATGTGCATGTTGTTCAAGGAACACTTTCATTACCCATCTAAATGACCAAGGTATATCACACAATGCTAAATGCTACAGATGTACATATATTAAATGCTAAGAATAAATGCTTTCTAATAAACAAAATGTCAGCTTTTGCTTTAAAATACGAGCATGGATACATACTACATGATGATATTCATTCTGCATATTGTATTATTTACGGGTTGTGGGGAAACGGGTTAAGACACATACCAGTTGACCCATGCTTGTCCAAGACCCCTGTGGTTATTCCAAGGTAGAACAGGTCCTCGGCCTCCCGAACTTCTTGTCAGAGCTGGCTAATGAGATTTGGGTGGTCACTGGGTGTGACTTGGCTGATACTGTGTCACTGTACTGTTGCCTATGTCATCAATTACTGGCATCGATCACATACAGCTCTGTTGTTTGTGGCGTTGGGGTGTTAGACATAAGCTGCCCGGGTCTTGACCACCCAATCCATTAAGTCGCCTCATACAAGCATAGATTGCTGGGGACCAACTTTAAGTTGTAGGCCCCACAGAGGTTGATAGTTTACTGGCCATTGTGATACTGCTGACTGTGACTTACTTCATTCATTCATTCATTCAGGCTGACTATTGCGAACTGTGACTTACTTCATTCATTCATTCATTCATTCATTCATTCATTCATTCATTCATTCATTTGTTTCTCAAAACATCTGTCCATTGAGATTTATCCAGGGACAGCCATTTAGCCTTCATTTCAGCAAGAAGCTCCCGATCAGGCACATACTTCACGTCCTCGGCTGGGTGCTGTACCATGACGTGTTTGCGAACGTTGCCGCCAGTCATACTCTTGTACGAGCAATACACACACGAATAGGGCTTCACACCCTTATAGTAGTGGGCGATCATCAAATGTTTCCTCATGTGATCCAGAGTCTTTGTTGTATGTTGACAAAAGTTACAGTGTAGATCCGATTCTTTGTGTGTTGAGTTTCGGTGGCTGCTTAAATTATTTGGAGTTCGGAATATTTTGCCACAGATTTCACAAGCAAAGTTTTTTTCTGTGACGTGAATTTTTTTGTGCGCAGTGAGGGTTCCTTGCCAGAGGGTGATGAAGTCGCATTCATCACATTGCAAACATTTCCTTTTGTCATCTTTTAGCCCATGGACCTTCCACAAGTGATCTGGGAAAATAAAATAAACACACAATTATTAAGATATTTCACAAACTAATATTACAGAAAATGGAAACTCTATTTCTAAAATAATCTTGCTCAAACATTTTTTCGATAATGGAGAACCTATGCTTAAGTTATTACCAGAGAGTTTGGCTCTCAGTGACACGAGTAGGGATTAGATGTCCATTTTGTCAGACCAATTTTCAATTTTGTCTTACATATAATCTTAAAGTTTTGTGACTGTCATTATCAAAACTGCAGTGTTTGATTGAAAATATTCTTCTAAGACCCCTTTTGGTTCGTCTTTTTTCTTGTTATTACTCTTATTTCCGTGAGTGAGTGGTTTTACACAGCTTTTAGCAAAATTCCAGCAATATCGCGGCGGGGGACACCAGAAATGGGCTTCACACATTGTACCCATGTCGGGAATTGACCCCGGGTCTTCGGCATGACGAGCGAACGCTTTAACCACTAGGCTACCCGACCACCCCCTTGTTTCAAAGTTTATCAGACAATTAACCTCTAATTATCCTTTGCAACATTTGTTTCTTAATTTTGGCACCATCATTGACATTATTTTAGTGTGGATTGAATACAGGTCCCAGTGTTCCCTCACCATCCATGGAGTACTGAGATCTGTAGTTGTTCCCACACACATGGCACTTGTACAGCGGGCCATCGGAGTGGTTTGTGGTCGTGTGCAGTTTGAGGTCGGACGGCGTGGCTGTGAAGTAGCCACATATCTCACACTGGTAGCGCTGGCTGTTGATATGGTGGTACATGTGATTCTTGAGTGCTCTGATTACAAAAAAAGAGATAAGGCTGTTATTTTTGTATTTGTTTGATCACAGATCCACCAACATTATTTTCATAAAAAATGGAATGAAACAAATACTTACACTAATGTTTTATCTGTCAATATGCAAAAATATTTTGTGAATATCCATCAACAATTTGTTTCTCAAACTGATCAGTTACCTGATTTCATGCATAAGAAATCCCTTCCATGGATTCTGACTCCAATATGTGCATATTTCCATCAACGCATGTTGATTCCATTTTGTTACTTTTATAAAAATCAGGGTAGGTATCATCTTCCCGAGGCAAGGGAGTTAACTGACTGTAGAAGTCCAGTTTCCACCCTTGCGAACTTGGCTGGAATTTCTGGGCTTGATTGTAGCACCACCAGTGGCTATTACGAGTTATGTCCCAGATGTCTAGTTGGTAACACGATTTTGATTGGACTACATATAGACTCGTTAGTCCAGCTAAAATGTAACTCCGGAATTCCAGCCTAGTTCAGCAAGGGTAGAAACTGGACTTTTAGAGTCAGTTAACTCCCTTGCCTCAGGAAGATGGGTAGGTATATTTATAAAACATTACAACAACTGACATACTTCCTGGTCTTGTATTGTTTGTCACAGTGTTCACAGGCGTAGCTAAACGTGTCACCATGCCCCTTCCTGTGTTCCCCCATAGTGGCAGGGGACTGGGCGGCGCAGTAGAAGTGACAGCCCTCCGCCTCACACACCAACACCTGCAACATCATCAACCCTGTTAGTTCCACTGTCCCACCTTACCACATTCCAAGTCATCATTGCTTATCTGTCCATCAAGATCACATGGATTTGAAATTCTAATGATATATTTTAGGTTAATGATGAGATGAGTTCTAAAATATAACCTTTCGTTAATTTTGTGTCAGTGAAGGAAACAACATTCTGTGCTCATCTAACACATAAGATGTGTAGGTGAATCAGGTGTAGGTGAATCAGGTGTTCGTAGGTTAATCAGGTGTAGGTCAATCAGGTGTAGGTCAATCAGGTGTAGGTTAATCAGGTGTAGGTTAATCAGGTGTTAGTTAAAAAGGTGTAGGTTAATCAGGTGTAGGTCAATCAGGTGTAGGTTAATCAGGTGCGCTATTGACCATCTGATCAATCTGAAGTACATTGGGACAAGTGACACCTCATTAATATGGAAATACTGTATATCGGGACCTCATTAATATGGAAATACTGTACAGTGGGAACTCATTAATATGGAAATACTGTACAGTGGGACATCATTAATATGGAAATACTGTACAGTGGGACCTCATTAATATGGATGGTCTCCTTCCTTGTGGCTTCATTTGGAAGATGTCCATGGAAGAATAATCTCTCCTGTCAATAATTGTGTAACAGGCATATAGTAAAATCACTGGCGGCAATCAAATTCCAACAAAACCATAAAGCAGTCCTGTTTCATGGAGCTGCTAAATAGACACGCGTCACCAGTAAACCACATATTGCCACAAAGAATTTACAGCGGATGGAGGAACGTAGTGTATACAAACCTGTGCAGTACTGACAATGATTTCTTTGTGGTTGATCTCAATTATTCATCGATCCATATTTTTTAACCTCCTGCATTAGATTGACCAACAAGAAGAGAAACTGATCTAGCCTTATTTTAAGAGTGTATGAGTGAGTATGGTTTTACACAGCTTTCAGCAATATTCCAGCAATATCACGATAGGGTATACCGGGCTTCACACATTTTGCCCATAAGGGGAATCGAACCCAGGCTTTTGGATGACAAGCGAATGCTTTAACCACCAGGCTACCCCACCGCCCCTCTAATTTAAAGAACATCAGACAGTATTCCTTCACCTCTCCATGGTGTACTCCATGCACAATCTGGTCGTGACTGAGCAGGCCCACGCGGTTGTGGCAGTCTCGGCCACACTTCCCACAGCTGTACTTCCCTGACTCCCGCCACAGATGCTGCCGCTTCAGATGCTGGATCATGGCCCTGTGGTCCACGGACTTGTTGAAGCACAGTGGACACACGTGAGCCTCTTCCGGATGTGCAGACTTCCTGTGGGTCACCACATCACTTATCTGACCTTCAAACCCACACAGGCTGCAGATACTGTTCTTGTTCCAACGAATCTGTGGACAAGAAACATTTCATGTTTAACTGGTAGTCGTTAAAACTGTCAGTTAAAAAGTCAGGGTATTTACCATTTAAATAAATTCACTGATCGGCTGGCTGAAGTCCTCAGGATTCTGATGATCTACAAAAGTAGTTCTCAACCAACGGCAGGATTCTGTTGATGTACAAAAGTAGTTCTCAACCAAACAGCCCTTGAAGACAGTCCTCTCAAGTGATGTGTGTGAACTTATCGGTGTGATGGTCCGTGTTAAAGAGTTTTATACTCTCCTTAAAACCCCTCATGGTCTACATACCTACAAACAAAACGGCTGCAACATCTATATTCAAGTGTCATTATTAAAACTTTGTTTTAGTATTGAGTATTGATTTGATCATCTCCATAATCACTACCAATCACTCTTTGAAAATATGAATACAGACGTTGTAACCATATGTAGTCTGTATCAATATCCCACATCCTACATCCACTTCAAAACGCCTCTGGATGATATTCATGTAGTGATTTTTGACTCACCAGAAAGTTGCCAGCTCTCCCTTTCTTCAGAGTCTGAAAAAATAATACCACAATGTTACTGTTGTTGTTGTTGTTGGTGGTGGTGGTGGCGAACTGTTGTTGTTAACTTTTACTTCATTAGCAGCAGAACTGTACTGCTGGTAAGACTTGCCCTGCCTAACAAGGTGCTGTGAACTGTCAAGTGAATGTTTCATAATCAAGGGTTAAAAGAAATTCAAGTAGCCACACATTCTCATTTTGGTTAAACATAATCTTTGATATTTCAAAACTCATTTCACTGCCTTTAACTGAGAGATTTTACAGTAGATTTTCTCGGAGCTACATAGCTCAAAACTTGCTGATGCCATAAAATCTTAACTCACTCATTCATTTTGTTTCTATTGCAATAATATTGAATGCAAAGATCACACTACAGCTGAATAATAGTACTGGTGACACAAACTAGTCTGACTTCTGTTAGTGTTGTCAGATAATGGGCAAATGTAGTGTTTTACCTCTGCATAATGCTACCATATTACAGCGAACATATCAACTTTCAGCAGAGCATTTGATACAAGCTTGAAAATGTGCTAAGCTAACAATTCAAATATTCAAAAGAACTTTGACCAACCTTGACAGCTGTCTTTCCTGATTTCCTCTTCTTTCTGGGGCTAGGGATTAAGAACTCATCTATTTGGTCATTACAGCCTGTGTGAGGAGGAACAAGTGCCGCCTCATCCGTTTTGTTTCCAAACTCATCATCCACGGCTGACCCTCCTTCAGCAGGCTCATTGTCAACATCCGATATCACATCACGACCAACAGAATCAACACTCACAATGGCAATTCCAAGCCTCTTAGGGAGAGACTCTGCTCCTTTCTGTGCAGACTTAGTTCTAGTTCTCAGCAACACAGCACCTTTCCTTATCTTTTTGGTCTTAAATCTTGATGTCGATTTATTTGATTTTTGACAGTTATCTCTAATGTCAGAATGCAAAGAAGCAGCAAAATTACTAGTCTGAGCACGTGGCGTTCTCCGACACCCACCTCTCTGTTCTCCTGGGCTCTTCTTGACATCTAGTCCATCTGATTGTGTCTTCCTTCTCCTTATCTTGTTCTCTTCCAGTTTGTCACTGGCTGCAAGACATTGAAATAAAGACACCTCTTCATGATCATATCTGGAGGGACTCCCATCACCTACATCAGCTGATGCTGATGGAAGCAGTATGTTCTGTGGGACCTTCCCTCCAGCAATATTTGGCACAATATGGCTGATATGGACTGCTTTACCATCAACCAAATCGAGGTCTCTTAGCTGATTTTTACTGGACATAAACTGATCTTTTGGCATTGGTGCCACACATGAAGTTTCAGCAAACCCTTCTGTGTTAAACGTAACTTGAAGATTGGAGCTGAGCTGGTCCTCCTCCTCCTCCACCTCATCTTTGACTCGGTTGATGTCGAACTCTTCACTGTCTGTGTGGGGGAGAGACTCGGGCAGAAACACAGACTCAGACTCCGGTAGACCCTGATTCCGTAAGTCTGACCCTGGAGAACCTCCTGACCAGACTCTAACAGAATGGTCTCCATCGGACTGGTCTCTGTCGGCTAGGTTTCCACCTGACTTGTATCTGCCACCAGGAAGGTCCAAAGAACTCACTCTTGTGGCTGGAGAACAAGATTCCCTCATTCCATCTGCTGTCATCACAGAGGTTTGATTTGAAATAAATTTGACAAGGTATTCAAATTTCAGTTTTTGGCCGGTGTCCAACAGTTGAGCCCTGTTTGAGTCAGTGACCTTCACCTTTCCACTGTATAGGTATTCAAGGATATTTTGCAGCACATCAAGGTCAACATCTGTTAAGAGAAGTGATTGAGTGAGTTGGGGTTAATACCGCACTGAAGAGTATTTCAGTTATATCAAAGTTTGTCAGCTTGATGTGGGAGGATAGCCCAAAGTGATTTGCTTTGGTGAAAACCATGAGTACGGTATGGTGCAGTCGCTCTACCACTAGACACTGGAGGTGGTAGGCCACAACTCTGCACTGCAAATAGCAGCACCTTAATGATCGTGGCATATGTAAACAGGAGAAGCAATTCTAGTCCGTAAAGACACTTACACTGAACCAGTGAACGTTACACATCAATGCTCATACATTTTAGGGTTTGACAAATATTTTCAGTAAGCGAATTCTACATGTAAAACAGAAAAATCACTAGAACCATAAAAAGGTTTACAAGACGTCAGAATGTTTTCAAACCTTTATCTTTTGTCTTATTCGGTGAAGAAACATACAAAGCCAATGGTGTAAAGGGTCAACAAAATGTCGGCATAGATATTACTTTACTAATACTGAGTACTCCTAAATGTCACATACAGATAGTCACACACTTATACACACCTAAATCAACAGTGTTCACTGGACTATCTGAGTTTCTTGAACTGTGCATGCTGTGAAAGTACTCCGAGTGAGCAGCAAGGATTAACCAATGAGCTTTCAGCTCACACCCATCAGCAGTCTTCAGTGTAATGTCACACAGGCACTTGGTTTCATACAGATTATGCAGGCTCCTCACCAGACTTTGTCCATATTGGGGATCTTTTATACTCCCCATGTTTACTGCGCCTGTTTACGTCTGAAAATGAATTAAATTTGTGTTCAAATATTTGTATTGATAATAACGAATATCCAACTAAATGAACGGAAAGAAAAATATGATTATTCAGCCCGTTTATTAACCCAAAACTATGTACAATATGCACAAACTACTGTTCCATCACACATTTGACACGTGCACGTTGCACAATGAAATACAAACGATACTTACAAACATTCAGTTATTGTACAATATAATATTACCCTGTTATGGCAACATCATATGTCTATAATTCTGAATATTGCCCTGTAAAGGCACAATAATGTAAGTTGTACTCTTGTGTGAGAGTATCCCACGACACGTCTTACACTGTCCAAACTGAAATGTCTAACTATCAGAAACTCCCATGTCCCAGTCATTAACAAGTTCTTCACTAGAAACATGTGCTTTCCGCAAAGTAGGCTGTGTTTGGTACACTCAACCCACCTGATCATGATGGGGACATGTGAGTTTCTGCGAAGTAGGGTGTGTTTGGTACACTCAACCCACCTGATCATGATGGGGACATGTGAGTTTCTGCGAAGTAGGGTGTGTTTGGTACACTCAACCCACCTGATCATGATGGGGACGTGTGAGTTTCTGTGAAGTAGGGTGTGTTTGGTACACTCAACCCACCTGATCATGATGGGGACGTGTGAGTTTCTGCGAAGTAGGGTGTGTTTGGTACACTCAACCCACCTGATCATGATGGGGACGTGTGAGTTTCTGCGAAGTAGGGTGTGTTTGGTACACTCAACCCACCTGATCATGATGGGGACGTGTGAGTTTCTGTGAAGTAGGGTGTGTTTGGTACACTCAACCCTCCTGATCATGATGGGGACGTGTGAGTTTCTGAGAAGTAGGGTGTGTTTGGTACACTCAACCCACCTGATCATGATGGGGACATGTGAGTTTCTGTGAAGTAGGGTGTGTTTGGTACACTCAACCCACCTGATCATGATGGGGACGTGTGAGTTTCTGAGAAGTAGGGTGTGTTTGGTACACTCAACCCACCTGATCATGATGGGGACATGTGAGTTTCTGAGAAGTAGGGTGTGTTTGGTACACTCAACCCACCTGATCATGATGGGGACGTGTGAGTTTCTGAGAAGTAGGGTGTGTTTGGTACACTCAACCCACCTGATCATGATGGGGACGTGTGAGTTTCTGTGAAGTAGGGTGTGTTTGGTACACTCAACCCACCTGATCATGATGGGGATGTGTGAGTTTCTGTGAAGTAGGGTGTGTTTGGTACACTCAACCCTCCTGATCATGATGGGGATGTGTGAGTTTCTGCGAAGTAGGCTGTGTTTGGTACACTCAACCCACCTGATCATGATGGGGACATGTGAGTTTCTGAGAAGAAGGGTGTGTTTGGTACACTCAACCCACCTGATCATGATGGGGACATGTGAGTTTCTGCGAAGTAGGGTGTGTTTGGTACACTCAACCCTCCTGATCATGATGGGGACGTGTGAGTTTCTGAGAAGTAGGGTGTGTTTGGTACACTCAACCCACCTGATCATGATGGGGACATGTGAGTTTCTGAGAAGAAGGGTGTGTTTGGTACACTCAACCCACCTGATCATGATGGGGACATGTGAGTTTCTGAGAAGTAGGGTGTGTTTGGTACACTCAACCCACCTGATCATGATGGGGACGTGTGAGTTTCTGTGAAGTAGGGTGTGTTTGGTACACTCAACCCTCCTGATCATGATGGGGACGTGTGAGTTTCTGTGAAGTAGAGTGTTTTGTACACTCAACCCTCCTGATCATGCTGGGGATGTGTGAGTTTCTGCGAAGTAGGCTGTGTTTGGTACACTCAACCCTCCTGATCATGATGGGGACATGTGAGTTTCTGAGAAGAAGGGTGTGTTTGGTACACTCAACCCACCTGATCATGATGGGGACATGTGAGTTTCTGCGAAGTAGGGTGTGTTTGGTACACTCAACCCTCCTGATCATTATAGGGACGTGTGAGTTTCTTTGAAGTAGGGTGTGTTTGGTACACTCAATCCTCCTGATCATGCTGGGGACATGTGAGTTTCTGCGAAGTAGGGTGTGTTTGGTACACTCAACCCTCTTGATCATGATGGGGACATGTGAGTTTCTGCGAAGAAGGGTGTGTTTTATCCAAAGAAAACTCCTGATGATGTATATACTTTCCTCATGTGATCCCCAAATTGATGTAAGCCTAATTTTTCACAAAAAGCATAACTGCCAAAAAAGATTAATTTGTTTGAAATGATCATTTTGCAGTACACTTTCTAAAACATGTTAAAGGAAAGTTGCAAACTTCATCATCTGCGGACCACACTTGTGTAGCTGTGACATTGCTGTATTGCTGTAAACAACATTCCCTTTGCTGGTGACTGTTGTAGGTGTTCGTTTGGGTTTGAAATTAAAATACAACACTATGTTAAAATTAGGAGGCAAATTCACTGCACGAGTTCTGTTGCAGTATTTAGGGCTGTCATGTATATATGAAAATGGAAAATTTCAGTGTTGTTTAAAATGTCTGGTGGCTGCCAACTGACAACTGACCCCCCCACTCATGTTGCCTTAGCTGTCAAATGAGAAAGCCTGTCTTCAAAAGGAAGTGCCTGGGACTATGTAGTCCTGCACCATGACTGTGGAAAATATTTATTTTATGAAAAGAAATAATCTAGAAACACATACAAAAGCAAGTCTAGCCAGGTCCATCTTCCCGAGGCAAGTGAGTTAACTGACAATAAAAGTCCAGTTTCCAACCTTGCCGAACAAGGCTGGTACTATGGAGTTACATTTTGGCTGGACTAACGAGTCTATGCATAGTCCAATCAAAATCGTGCACCGAAATCTAAATCCGGTTAGTAAACTGTCGTGCAGATTTCGGTCGTTGCAGGATTTGCAAAACATGTGCACCACCAACTCGTTGTCAGCAGATATTTTTCAAATCTTTTCATGTTTCTAATAAAGCTGCTCACGTGATGTGTTGCACTTCGCAATGTAAGACCCGTTTTATCACAATATAGATCTTGATTATCGATCAGATCGTCTTGACTGGGCGCCACCTTTTTGTTTGAAACAAATGCAAGTGATACGAGAGGTGGAATCTGATTGGTCCATAGGAGAGGCTTAGAAGGGACATAACCACTGGTGGCGCTACGATAAGGCCCAGGAATTCCAGCCTAGTTCGGCAAGGGTGGAAACTGGACTTTAAAAGTCAGTTAACTCCTTGCCTCGATGAACCAGCTCTAGCTAGCTCTATATGAAATCCGCATAGGGAGATTTATTTTTTTTAGAGTCAAGAAGGATATTGTGTTATATAAGATTTCATAGACTAAATGTTAGTCTAGGGACTATGATCCAGTGTCTGCTGCCCATTTGCAGTCAATGTCGAGGTGTCAAACTGTCTGTGTGTAAAAGAGGATATAGTGACTCATGTAAATATCTCCTCTCCCAAAGTCACTCAATGAGAGAAACATGATATTACCCGAGACACATGGAATATCCTATTTATTTTATACTTTTTGTGTAGTTGTCTACTGGAAAATTATATTATTTCATTACAAATGTAAAACCTTGAAACGTCAGTTCTCCCTACCTAACACACAGGGACAGTTCACCACCCCTTGTATTTACAACTAAAATAGTAGTTTTGAGTTTGCAAAATCTAAAAAAATATAAACAAAAGTAACAAAAAATATTTAGGGTCATGAAAATTCTGTATCATACATATAGTTATGATTACATACAAAATCAACTTTAACAAAAAATATTCTTGAAAACTATGAGACCATTGTTGGAAGCGAAAGAATGCATGTAACAAAAGGATGGAAGTAACAAAAATGGCGCTCTGCGAAAAGAACAGACTTGATTGACGAGTTAAATGAGAAATTTACAGTTTATAAGGAAACATTTTCAAGAGAATAACAAACAACATGAAGCTATATTAACTCCATAAATGACCATCTGTCATTATTTTGCCTTGTCAATGTGGAACTAATGTAAAAAGGAAGTCAACAGTTTGTGTACAGACCAGAGACTTAGGATAAAAGGAGACAATTCGAGGGGAGGTCACTCTTGAATGACAATAGTTCCGTCAAAGTTTCATGTTCACTGCTGTGAAATATCAAGTGTTAAGTTCACTGCAATGAAAATATCACATTTTTTCAACTTCGGAAAACTCAGTCTTTCACACTGAAAATCATAAACTGCTGGAGTGGTGTACATAACAAATAAGGAGTTTGCAGAAACAAAAATGGGAAAGACTTCCGCCTGTATCCCCCCTCCAAAGTTTATGTTTATGACTGTAGTATTTGGTCCTTAACTCTTTACATGTGACGTTCCTTCAGTTATACTATCCAATATGGTTATTATCATTACATATATGTTTCATACAGTGTCCAATGCATTGCCACTCAAGCCTTTTACATTATGTGTGCCAATATATATACATATATATGTTTAGGGGGATAAAGGCAGAAGTCTTGCCCCCAAAATGTGAGTTTTTAATTTACTTCAATTAAACTTGCATGCAGTTACAGATAGCACTATGAAGACATCTCCATTATTTGTCTCCAATGTACCTGCATTATGCACATTATGTGTTGTTCTATGATTTATATAATTAAATATTCTGTAACAGAGAGGTTGATGTTTGTTGCCGCACTCAGCAATATTCCAGCTATATGAGTACGGTTTACAAAAAATCGAGTCTGGACCAAACAATCAAGTGATTGACATCATGAGCCCCGATCTACGTAATTGGGATACGATGACATGCATCAATCATGTCACTGTCAGCAAGTCTGACCACCCTATCCCGTTAGTCGTTTCTTACGACAAGCATTGGTTGCTGAAGACCAATTCTATTCCGGATCTTCACGGGTTGTAAAGGAGAGGTCTTCAAATAGGCAATTTGCGTGTTGATAATCCAGTTTCCTGAGATGAATCAGTGTTGAAATCACATGCTAAAACAAATCCAAGTCTAGTAGTACGTTCCCCTGCAAACTGACAAGACTCGCGAAAGAGCCTAACTTGACCGTCTGCTGGACGTGTTCATATCCACGTGATATCGTCGGGTGTACTGTGTACATTCCCTTATAGGGACAATCCATATTCACTTACCAATGTGTTACAGGAGGATTTTATACGCTATCCAGTATCCAAGACCACAAGCATGACAAGATATTGTTTTAACGGGCACCTGTCTCTGCAGAAATATAACTAGAGTTATCTCCCTTCTAGTTTATGGTCTGTTTTACAAATA